CTTACCTTATAAAAGAATTTGGAAGGGTTCCATCCTGTTTTTTGGAAGAGATTGACTTCAAATGTTTTTTAGAAATCACTAGTGAATCCCTCTGGTCCTGAGTTTGTTGGAAGGTTTTTGCTTACTGGTTCAACCTCCTTATTAGTAATTTGTTCAGATTTTCTATTCGTGATTCTGTCTTTGTACATTGTGTGTTTCTGGGAATTCATCTATATATTCTATGTTATCCAGTTTGTTTGCATATACTTATTCATTGTGTCCCTATGTTCTTTTGTATTTCTGTGATTTCAATTTATAATGTTTTCTATTTCCTTCATAACTTTCAGTCCTTTCTCTTTTTTTCTTGGTTAAGTCTAGAAAAAGTTTATTTTGCTTATCCTTTCAAAAATCAACTCTTAATTTTATGGATCTTTTCTGTTTCTTTTTAGTCTCTCATTTGTTTGTGCTCTGATCTTTTGTTATTTCCTTTTGCTAGCTTTGGGCTTCTTTTTCTAGTTCCTCAAGGTGTAAAGTTAGGTTGTTTATTTGAGATCTTTTTTTCTTCATGTAGGTGTTTATTGCTATACACTTCCCTTTTAGAATTGCTTTTGTTGCATACCATAACTTTTCCTATGTTGTGTTTCCATTTTCATTAATATCAAGGTATTGATTTCCCTTTTGGTTTCTTCTTTGACCCACTGGTTGTTCAGGAGCATGTTGTTCTATCTCCACGTATTTGTCAATTTTCATTTTCTTATAATTGATTCCTGGTTTGATACCATTGTGGTTGGAAAAGATGCTTGATATGATTTCAGTCTTAAATTTATTAAGAGTTGTTTTGTGGCCTAGTATATGATCTATCCTAGAGAATGTTCTATGTGTGCTTGAGAAGAATGTGTATTAGATTTTGGATGGAATGTTCTGTGTGTGTGTTAGGTCTGTCTGGTCTAATGTGCAGTTCAAGTCCAATGTTTCCATATTGATTTTTTGCCCAGATGGTCTATTGCTGAAAATGGAATACTGAAGTCTCTATTATTATATTGCTATTTCTCCCTTCAGAAATATTAATATTTACTTTATATACTTAGGCCCTGTTGGGTGCATGAATATTTACAATTGTTATATCCCCTTCATTAACTGACCCATCTTATATGACACATTGTCTCTCATTATATTTTTTTTAGCTTCAAGTTTATTTTATCTGATATAAATACAGCTACCCTTGCTATCTTTTCATTTCCATTTGAGTGGAATGTCCTTTTCCATCCATTCACTTTAGTCTGTGTGTCCCTTAAGCTGATGTAAGACTCTAGTCAACAGATAGTTGTCCATTCAGTCTCTCTATATCCTTTTGATTAGAGAATTTTGTCCTTTTGTATATAAATTATCCATAGTATGGACTTACTATTGCCATTTTGTTAGTTGTTTTTCAGTTGTTTTGTAATTCCTGTGTCCCTTTCTTTCTTTCTTGCTGTCTTTTTGAATGGGTAGTTTCTTTAGTTCTACGCTTAGATTGATTTCTCCTTATTTATCTATGTAGGCTTTTGCTTTATGGTTACCATGAGGCTTACATAAAACATATTTATAACCATCTATTTTAAGCTGATAATAACTTTGAACACATACAAAGCTTTCTCACCTCCACACTTTTTTGATATCACAGTTTGTATCTTTTTACATTGTGTATTCATTAACAAATGATTGTATTTATACTATTGTCTTTTAACCTTTATACTAGAATTATAAGTACCAATACATTAGAGAATTGTCAATTTAAGCATATACTTATCTTTACCATTTTTATACTTTTTCATACATTTCTCTTGTTAATTAACATCCTTTCATTTCAGCTTGAACTCCCTTTAACATTTTATGTAAGGCTGTCTAGTAGTGATGAATTCCTTCAGCGTTTATTTGCATGGAGAACCCTTTCTCAGTTCTGAAGGACTTTTCTGGGTAGAGTATCCTTGTTTGGCAGTTTTTTTCTTTAGCACTTTGAATATATCATCCCACTCCTTTCCGGCCTGCAAATTTCTTGCTGTATTTCTCCTGAGAGTCTTATGGGGATTCCCTTATGTAACAAATTGCTTTCTTCTTGCTGCTTTTAAGATATCTCCTTGTCCATAGTGTTTGGTAAATATGCCTGTGTAGGTCTCTTTGGATTCATCTTGTTTGGTACTTGCTAGCCTTTCTGGATCTTGCTGCCTGTTTCTTTCCTCAGGTTAGGGTTATTTTCAGCCATTAATTCTTTGAAAATGCTTTCTGCCTCTTTCTCCTTTCCTTCTTGGAACTTTATAATGTGTATATTGGTCCATTTGATGGTGCCCTGTTAAGTCCCTTAAGTTATTTATCTTCACTTTTTCTCAGTCTTTTTTCTTTTTGCAATCCTAATGGGTTGAATTCCACTGACCTCTTTGAGTTTACTGATCCTTTCTTCCGTTTGACTGGGCTGCTGTTGAACTGCTCTTTTGGATTTTTCAAGTTGGTTATTGTATTCTTCAGCTCTGTGAATTCTGTTTGGTATTTTTGAAATATTTTCTGTGTTGTAGTTTTCTTGCTGTGCATGCATTGCTCCTCTGACCTTGGTCAGCATCTTTTGACCATTATTTTAAATTTTCTCTCAAATTAGTGGTATATCTATTTCAATAAGACTTGTTTCTGGATATTTATCTTGTCCATTTGTTTAGGACATAGTTGTTTCTCCTTTTTCCTTTCTTCTGTGTTGGTTTCTATGTATTTTATCTAGATAAAAGAGCCACCTCTCCCAGTCTTGACAGAATGGTCTTGTATAGGGGATGAACCTTGCTGTTCAGCCCAGCCTAAGCTCTTAGTAGTTGTCTTTCAATCTTTTGTGATTGTTCAAGCCTCTTGTTTATTCTTTGGGATTCTCAGGAGAGGGTGTGCTAAGACCTGTCAGTGTCCCAAAGGCTAATTAGAATCTGGACCCTCATGCAGTAGGTGGGAAAGTATATAGGTAAGCCCTGTGTAGGGAGAAATGGAAATAGGTGTTTTTGCCTCTTCCCTCTGTTCTGGGTCTGGGTGTATATATTCACAGCGTAGGGGTGGGAGGAGAGGGTGCTCCTTCACTATTAAGAATTATTTTATTGTTTGCTACTCTTCTGTGGGACTTGTGAATGCAAGCCCCTATGGGCTATCAGAGCCAGGCAATCCAGGGACCATCTGCTGGGTGACAGACACAAAAGCTCTGGGGCACAGATGTGTGTGTATGAGCTCTTACAGGAAGATATTAGTGACCTGGCAGTGAGCAGGAAGCAGAAGGTGGGAGGGGCATCCTCCAGCTTCCTTTGTCTGTAGGAACATCGCATCCTGGCCCTTGTTCCTGCTAGATTAGAGGCCTGGCCCTTAGGCAGCAGCTTTAAAATACTCAGATAAAGCTCTTTCAGGGAAAAGCGGGATGGGTGAGTTCATCTGCCCTCTCTGCTCTGAGCCTCAAGGGGATAACCAGAGTGCTGGTGTGCATGTAGAATTGCTTATTTGCTAGTCTTATGGATCTCAAACACAAGCTTTGTTGGCATTCAGAGCTAGTTGGTTTGGGATTCTGTTCATCTAGTGGGAGTCTTAAATGTTTGGGCACTAGATGTGGAGTCCAAACCCTTCAGTCCTCGAGTAGAAGCCAGGAGTTTGGACTTCCCTCCCAAATGTATGGTGCTATGTTGGGAGTGATGTTTATGGTTTGTCTCACCTTTTACTGCCCGTTCCAATGTGGGTATTTTCTCATTTATACAATGTGTAGGAGCTGCTCAGCTACTGTCTGGACTTTTCAGAGGGACTTGTTTCCTGTGTAACTGTACATTTGGTGTTCCCATAGGAAGCTGCTAACCTCCCCTCCTATGTTGCCATCTTGGTTGACTCTGCCTTCTGAACATAGATGATTTAAGAACTACTTTATAAGAAGTTTTAACAGACTCATTTATCTGCCCTCTCTGAAGTTGACCTCCATTCTTAAAATAACTATTGTTTCAAAACAAATACTATGAGTATTTGTAAAAGCTAAAACTAAGAGGGATCAGAGGGCCTTGGGGTTGTGCTCCACAATCTGCTTTGTTGTATTGATTACTTCACTTGTGAGGAACATTTTGACACTTAATCATAAGCAATTCCAGGTAAGAATCTCTGGGATGGAACCTGAAAAATCTGCATTTTTAACATGCTCTCCAGGTGATTATTACATAGACTGCAGTTTGAGTTCACATTGCCCTCTAGACTGTTATTTTTGTTGACATCATTTGTCAATTTTATCTACTAATTTATTCTAGTTATTAGACTTAACATCTAATTTGATAGGCAGTTTGATTTCTTAGTCTCTCCTTCCTCAGAGGAATTTTGATTCAGTGGGTTGTACTAGGTGCAAATAGCAGAAACAATTGCAATGGCTGTTGTTTGTTTCCCCAGATATGGGGGAGGGCACTCAGAGACTTGGTTTGTATTTTTTTAAAGTTCCACATGTGATTTTATATAAAAATTTAAAAATCAAATTTTGTTTTACAAAGGAGTTTGCATAATTTTGACAGCTGTGTTACTTGCTATTCTGCTTGTATGCCAAATCACAAGTAGAATTGCTTTTTTAACAAATAAACCAATTTTAGTTTAGATTTTTAGCATTAGTTGTGTTTTCTTTTTCTCATAGGTGTCATCTTTAAGAAATGAAAAGCGAGGCTCATCATATCTCCTCTCTGCCCCAGAAGGTGGTTCTGTCGAATTTGTTGACCAGCATTCACAGGGCACAGGCACATACTACATGGAAACCTACTTAAAAAAGAAGCGAGTGTACTAAGTTAAGGTCTTTCCTTTTATCCTCATACGGTTCTTTACAGTATCTCTGCTGTTCATCGCTGCCTTAACTACATTCAGACTAGCCATATCCTTTAAACACGGGTTTATTAATGTCCCCAGAAGGAACTGTGTTGTGAAGCAGGCAGAATTGCCAAATAAAAAATAAATAGCAATAAGAATAGACATCAGTTGAAGAATTTTCCACTAGAATTAGATACATCTTAATATATTAATTTACAGTCCATTGGAAAAATTAACAATGTTCCCAATATTCCTTATTTATGACAGAATAATTTTGATCCATATATAAAGGTTTGAAGCAATAAATGGGAAAGTTTCCTGAGCCTTAGATGAATGAATTTCTTATAAGCCAGTGTGCATTTCAATTTACTTTCCCTAGAAGTAATCTCATTTATAGATTTTAGGACTTTTCCTAGAAATACAAGAGTGTAAATGCAAAATGTAGTGATGGTAATGTCAAAGATTCTCCACATGCAAACTAAATTACCATCCCCATACCAGCCATGCAATATAAAACCCAAACAGCATGATAGTGAGGCCTTAGTTATATACAGCTACAGATGCTTTACTTTTAACATATGTCGTTTACCGTTTATACCTTTTGTGAAACAGAAGGTATTAAGAAAAGTCACTTTGGTGATCAAATTTCAGGGCTTGGCAAACCACACCCTGGGGTAAAATTTAGTTCTCCACCTGCTTTTGTACTGCCTGCAAGCTAAGGATGATGTTTACATTTTTAATGGTTGGACTGAAAAAGAAAATTTGACTTGAAAATTGTGAAATTCAAATTTTAGCATACATACATAAAATTTATTGGCACACAATCATGCTCATTCATTTACCTATTGCCTGTGGCTACTTCTGTGCTATGGTGGTAGAGCCCAATAGCTGTGACAGAGACTGTACAGCCTGCAAAACCTAAAATATTTACTATTTGGCCCTTTATAGGGAAAGTGTGCTGGCCCTTGACATAAGAGCACTAATTCCCTAAGCCTTTTACTTCACCTAAAGAAAGACATTTAAGTTCTGCAAGAGAGTTGTAAGTGGCAAGGAACACAGCTTCTGCGTCTCATTTTATAGCACCTAATGACTAGATCAGGGCATACACTGACCATCAAATACAAATCCACAATATAGTAAAAGAGTCAGTACTACCCTCCCTGAAGGAGTCTTAGGGAGTAACAGAACCATTTTGAGCTAATAAGCTATACCTCACTCTGTCTCTTAGTCTTTTGTAGTTTGTTAGGCTGAAAAATTACCAGCTATTTAACCCAATTTACCTTTGAAAGAAATGTTTATTGCATATAACTTTTGACATTACCTTTTTCTGAAGATCTTGATACTAAATGCTCGAGAAACCTTTTGCCATCTAGAAATTTCTGTTTGTCCCTTATTATGAGAATGTAATTGATGGTAAGGAGTTCAGAGGTCTCAGTGATCCTAGTCTTTTTGAAATCAGATCATTAAATACCTTGTAATTTGGGGGACTTATTTTTGACTATACGGTATACTGTTTTAATTATGAAGTTTAAAATTGGTACATACTGTGATTTGTAAAGAATTTTACTTGGTCTAATTTATTGCATGTATTAACTTCTATTGGAAAATGACAGTTAAATTCTGGGCAGTTTATACCACAGATAAACTGATTGATAGACTAGGCATCACTCAGTCATGACTCAGCGGATGAATAATGGCTTCTCTATGCTCTGCACTTCTTCCCATTTTCCTGTTGCCTCAAATAAGAGTCTTCAGTGATAAGTCACATCTCTATGACAGTACAAACAGAAGATGGTAAACTTTAGAGCTGCAAGATGAAAGCAGGAAGAGGTTCAAAGAATTAAAAGATTTTTTTGGATTATAACACATAGTGGCTTTGCCCTGTGTTCCATTACCACTGGATATAAAAGGAGACCATTGCCACACACCCCCAAAGTCTATACTGTTATTTTTTCTATGTAAATGAATTGAATTCTTTGAAAATGAAATATTAATAGTAAAAGTCATATGCATGTGGAGTCTCTATTATCTTTATTTGTATAAAGAATAAACAAAAAGTGCATATAGAGTGGCCACAGGTTTGACACAGACAGACCTTGGTGATACAGGATTACTGAACAAATGTAAATGGCAAGTTTTATCATTGCCATTGAAGCAGTTTTCAGGCTCAAAAGGTGAACACCATATCACACAAATGCTAGACATCATTAACAAAAAGTTTTTCAGACTCATGGTCATAAAGAGCTTACAGTTCACACTGAATTAAAGATTAGACCTTTTTTATTACACAGCTACCTCCAGGCAAACTGTCTATGAATCTTGAATTCCATGGTGCCTTTAAGCTAGGTCTTTTAAGTTTTGCACCACAGACTGACAGTCAAAATAGTGATTGACTTTTGTAGGTGAATGCTAAGTATTGAAACACTCTAAGAACAGTGCAGTGTGGTATATACTCTGACTGGTTGCATAGAGCATCCCAAACCAATGCTGGTACAGCTTGCCCCAAACTGGTAAAGTTAGAAAAGGCTATACACTGACGTTTCCTAAGAGCATGTTTAATAGTACCCAGGTTCTTGGAATCAATTCTGATTAAAAGTATACTGTTCAGGAAAGCACTGGCATAGGCTTGGTTCTCAAGAATTAACATCATGCAGCAAAGTATTCCACAGCCGTCCCCATGGGTATGACCAGTTTTCTCAAAAATGGGTAATGCTGGCCACCCAGGGAACAGGCACTAAGCCTCTGAAAACAAAGTTTAAGTCCTACTGGTGACAGGAACACCCTCATCTTTGTACAGAAACAATAGTATACTAACTGGTATCTAGTATTTCAAGAATGCTTGGTCTATCGCTGTATAGGTATTAAAATTTGTGGGTATATTAAAGTATCAACTGAGTCCATCGATCTTTATGTTTATGTTCCAGAAAAACATTTCAGATCAACTGGCAACTGGGAGAAAGCAATGATCTTGAGACTATTTTGGTCAGCTCCTCTTGTTTTGAAAAGTCCCATTCTGATAGACAGTTGTAATGGCAAGCCAGCCAAATAAGATGGTGGTATATTTTTCCAAAAGGAGTGCTTAAGTGCTTTCTAATATTTTGGTTGTCATTATTTGTCACTATGCTACTGGTGCCAAATTTAAAGAGGAAGTACTTACACATACTAAACACCGTAGTATGCCTTATATATACTTGGATACATACCCAAGTATCTTTTTAGACAGAATACAAACTTTTTCCATTAAAAAAATTTTTTTAAATGGCTTGTATATTTGTTAGGGGAGAGGAGGACTTGATATACAGTGGAATTTAAATGTTATTCATGCTTATTTTAAAAGTGCTTCAAATCCTTCAATAAGGTTCTGAAAGGTTGTCCGATTAGATGGTTGGAATTCCCAGCATTTTCTCATAAGTTGATAAACCTGTAAAAAACAAACCAACCAAAAAACAGTAAAAGTGTTAGATTTAGGAGTTTTTAATATTATAGAATCACCAGGAGTAAGAAAATTTTGGACATGTAAATGACCTTCCTTAAGTAACAATAGTATTTGAGTAATTTAAAATATAGAAAATGTGACACAACTATAGTTCATAAATATTTTAACATTGGAGAAGCTCATGGGTTAACTGAGCTTCCAAAAAATTCATGTCATTAATTACCTGCCATAAAGCAGTTCACGGGATTGTATCTCAGGTTAGACTCTAAGTGTCCTCACTGGCTGCTTCACTCTCACTCACACATACTATTCAGTACACCCTAACTAGCCTAAATAGTTTTAAAGACTCAGTTCACTTTACAATACAGAAAACTGAATCAATGTCATAAATGCTGTTGATAAGCTGGATAAACTTTCATGATAAAACTCTACCAAAATATGCTCTTTTAGGGAGCCCACTGAGGTTGATCTACTTTTGCGGGGAATCCATGCTCTGAGCGTAACTTCTGGCTGCCATCTGCCCCAAAGATGATTTCTCAGGTATCTTATCTGAAATTCAGCTTCAGAAAACGGAAGGAGTTTTGTACTCCTTCCTTCTCCCACCCCCACTCCCAGTCCCTTGCTGAATAACTCAAACTGTGAAAACAGTAAAAACTGAGTTTTATTACTGTGAAGTGGACCATAAATACCTCATCTGGACAGTTAGGTGGGCAAGGCAAACGTTTTCCTTCTTTTAATGTATTCACAAGTCTTGTTACTGTCATCTGGCCATGAGTTGGACCTATCATTTTCAGGAACAACTATGTAAAATAAAACCAAACAAAATACTTTACTTTGCATATATTTACATAATCAGATTAAGGCGAAATTTCTAGAATTAACTAGAAATTAAAATGACAATAAAAAGGGTTTTCTTCTTAGTAACCTTAAATGAAAGTCCAAAATCCTTATTAGCTCTCAATGATCAGTGTGTAATTTCTCAGACTCTGCCAACCACTCCTTCCCTTGTCCCAGTGAAAATGATCTCATTTGGGAATACATAAAGCTCAGACAAGGCCCCTACTCAATGCCCCCTCACTTAACTCACTTATTTTCCAGGAAACTGTCTCCAGATTCCTGGCACAGAGAAAATCCCTGAAAGTCAGGGTCATCTTACAGAACTCTGGGCTCCTTGTGAAACCAAGACTTGAAAGAGCCACAAATATTGTCAAGTAATAAACCAAGATAAATGGAAAAGTAATACTTCCCTTCTCCATTATAACATACTGACTGAATTCCACTTAAAAACAATGCTTAACAAAGCAGAGATGGACATGTTTTCATTGGGTACTAGATTCAAATGAAGAGATGAGACTTACCGCCATGGGACTGGAATCTGAATCACAGTAAGTAAGCAGCTCGTGCAGAGTTACTCCAAAAGACCAGACATCAGAGGCGATATAAAATTTACACTGAATCAAACACTCTGGAGCATACCTGAAAGAAAGCAGATATGAAACTTCATTTCCTGGGAAAGGTACTCCAACAGACATTACAGAATAACTCAGAAAATCTGTCACCCCTTTAGTCTTCCATGGAATTTAACATTCTATGACATCTAAGCATGAATTGTGGATTAATGACACCTGCTGCTGTAGTACACATCTGACATGAAGAACAACAATGTTTATAGGCTTTCAGCAGTATATATTTTCTCCAAAATATCAGTAAGACAAGTTTGTGCTCTTCATTTCACAGAGCACATGCTGTCCATGCACAGGAGCTGGCAGCATATGATGACAGGCCCCAGGTTTTATTTGCCTGCAAGCTCAGTCAGCAGTGCCCAGTCCTCTTCCCACGTCAACTGTTTTGGTGAATGGGAATCCTAAACAACCAACTGCCTGAGCCCATATCCAGTTTCCTAAATCCTCAAACCTACTCTTAGACCACACTGTCATATCCTGATCACTGTCCTCATTCACTCCATTGCTGCCTCCGGCCCAATCAGACCCCTGGCTCCAATCTTGCTTCCCGGAGTATCCCACAGTGATTGCTTTAAAAGTCCCTATCCTTAGGACATCAAATGGCACCCGAAAGCCCTTGCGATGGAGTACCAGCTCTTGTCACTTGGCTTCCAGAGCTCAGCCTTGGCAATACCCTGATACCTCCCACTTCATGACCCCGCCACACTGAGCCTCTTTCCGTTCCTGGGGTCGTCAGCTGCTCTGGTCTCATTCTTGTTAAGTCACCCTTCTCCTAACCATCTTTACAAACCCTCATGAATCTAAAATCTTAACAGGACTTGCAGAAAACCAAGCCTTTTATGCTTATGTACCACAAAATTGGCTTCTTTGCCCATTAGATCCTAAACAGTCTGCTTGTTCACCATCATCTATTGAGTGCCTGGAACAAAGTAGGACCTTGACATATATCTGTTTAATGAACGAATGAAGGTTTAGGCTCCACGGGCAGAGAGATTGTGTGTCTATGCAGGGTGCACCTTGGAGGCACTAGCAGTTTCACAGGAGCGGGTGGAGTGGAGACTTAAGCAGCGTCTCTCCTGGATAGTGTTTCAGGCTGAGGGGTCAAAGTCAGGCTGTGGCCTTCTAACCAGGCTACTCCTAGTGATTCATGAGAAGACGGCCAGGTTTCCTGTGTACTTTGCTCTGCTTTGCCCAAGATCTCTCTGAAAGTGTCAGTGCTTGCCTCGACAGCGCCTCATTCCTGCACCCTCCTCCTCCCTGCCCTTCAGGCTTCCTCTGCACGGTGTGGTGTGACTCCTGCAGCTGCTAACAGTTCTAGGAACTGCGTCAGACATCAGACCAGTGCCTTCTCCTGGACGCTGGAGACGCTGAGCTGGCAGCTGGAGCTCTCCATTCCCGGGAGGGTGGTGTGTGCAGTGCAGGCAGCTCTGTGTGGGTTGCTTTCAGGGAACAGCCTAAAAGGTGTTTCTTGAAGGCAAAGATCAATCAATTCCAAATGTTCTATGACCTTTCTACCCTTGACTCAGACAGAAGGAATGAGACATTAACACAGCTAGAAAGGGCTTATCCAAACAGTGGAAACCATATGACCAACTGATGAAATGTTTGACTCAGTTACCAAAACACAGGGCTGTCCCGGTCGTCCTTGACTGTGTAGTACTCCTTATCAGTTTCAATTGCTTTGGTTAAACCAAAGTCTCCAATTTTCACTTGGTGTTCACTCTCAACAAGGACATTTCTCGCTGCTAAGTCCCGGTGAACATACTGCCGAGAACCCAAGTAGTCCATCCCCTGATGGAGAGAAGTAAAGGTAGGAAGACACATTGCTGGAGGTCAGTTCAGACGGCATTTTGCATCTATCACTTCTTAACAAAAAACTACAGATCTCACTTCATTCATATGTCACTGGGTTTTTTTTTGTTTTTACTTTTATGCAAGAATAGTAAAACCAACCTCATTAAAAGAAATACACATTAAATTAGCCATACTAACAAATCAGGTTACTTTCCTAGTAGAGACTAATTTTTCATCCAAATCATACACGGCAAAATAAACTCAGAACAATTATTGGGAAGTTTCCCACTTGCAGTCTAATTACAAACGAATTACACAGGACAGGGTGTCTGATTTCTTAATCTGTAATATACTGTCTTTTTTTTACCTTACAAATCTGAACAGCATATTTCAACTGCTGTTTGAGGTTTATTTTGTTCTTATTCTTTGGAAGATACTCTTTAAGGCTTCCCGAAGGCAGAAATTCCATGATGAGCTTAATGCCATTTCCTCCTGTTCAGAAAAAGCACCCATCAGTACAAGGTTTCAAATTAAGGAAATGGGAGAAAGTAAGGAGCACAGGATTTGCAGGCAGAGGACCTGAACTAATTCAATGTCACTCGGCATCACAGGCAAGTTACTTAAGCCCGAGAGCCTCGGGAGACTAAGCAGCAGTGTAAAGGGATCGTGACCCTTGTGGACATAACCCAGAGTCATCAGCGCTCACTGAGATAACACAGAGTGCTCTGCAAACCAGAGCAGATGATCGATGTATTAAAAATATGAGCCATATCATTTCATTATCAATACAATATCTACGTAAGGTCCTGGCTTATAAAAAAGATACACTTACTGGTAAATACTACTTGCCACCCTGATTTAGACAACTAGAAAACAAAATATCCTGGCTAGTGTTGGGTCAGAATAGGGAAAGGGGAGAAGTGGTTATCAGATTTACATGACCTTCAGGCCCTAAATGGGAGAATTAGGATGGATGAAGTCCAGTCTCCAGTGTGGATACGTGAACAGCCCGGAGAGCATCTAGCATCATCCTGGCTGCAGGGGAAGATGGGAACCTTCCTTGGGAGCTCCACAGCTGCTGAGGGGTTTGACAGTGCATATGACTTCAAGCCCAGGGGCCATCAGTGAGCATGTGCAGGTGGCCTAGATATGGCCAAGGACACCACCTATTCAGCACTGGCCTTACAATTCCAGATGGTCAATTTTTAAACCAACCCCACTTTGCTCAACATACCGTCTTCCGTACAGATGCCTTTGTACTTCACAATGTTCTCATGATAGAGGTTCCTTAAGATTTCTATTTCCTTCTTCAGATCAGCTATGTGGTTACCACCACTCTCAGGCTTCAGGGATTTGACAGCTACCTGCTCCCCCGTATTGTCCCCCTCAGGGTCATACCTGCAGAGCTCAACCTTCCCAAAGTGGCCCTGGAGGGAAAGATGCATGTGCTTGATCAGAAAAACCCCAGCCTGAACCAGCAGGAACACCCTTGGAGGCAGAGGCTTGCTCCTTGGGCTGTTCCCTCGAAGGCCAGGGGTGCACAGCACAGCCCGACCTTGCAAGCAGCCAGCTCCTACCAGGCCTCTTCCCACTCACCACAGCCCCTTCCTATCTTGGCCTCACATGCTATCCCCTCCATTACTGAGCCAAGTGACTGATGAACCAATGCAGCAATCCCAGTTTCCATGAAAATGTAACCCAAAAGGAAAAGAAGGTTATTTCTGGACCATTCGGACAACTATGGCTTTTTTTCTTCTTTTTTTTTTCCAGCCCTGAGCCCCCTACAGGAGAGGCACCACAAAATAGCTAACAGAGCACTGCATGAGGAGTCTTTAAAAGATGTGGGACCAGATCCCAGCTAAGCCATTTGATGGTGATGATGGCCCCGTGGCCCTGTCACCAATCTTCTGAGCTGGCTCCAGAGGTGCTGAATGCACACAGTAGTACTACACCCTCAGGGATGCTGTGAGGGACTAAGGACACTGCACCTGTAAAAAGTCTGGCACACGGCCTTGGCACATGGCAGATACTCAACACAGGACAGTCTCTGTTTACATAACAACTACAAAAAATCTGTATAAAGATGCAAATCCCAGTAGCTTTTCTAGTCACATTAACTGTTAAAAAACTCCCATTCGAGGTCCAAGGGAAAAGCTAACATTCAGTTCTGGTCTGCTGTGTAAGGTTTATTTAAGCAGCCTCACAGGGATATATATGCCAAGGAAAGTCAGAGACAGGGATTTTTTTATTTCCACCATATCTATACCTATTCCCCTGTATATCTCCCTTTCCATTCTCTTCCATCCCTGAAAGATCAAGTCTCTTCAGGCAGCAAACCAATATACTGTGTGCATACACAGCCACATACATGCACAAATATATGTAAGCTGTCACTGTGTGTGTCAAATGGGGAAAGACACCATCCCTTGTGATTCAAGTGGCCCTAAGAAAACGCAGTAAGATGCTTTCTATTATCAATCTTGACCCAAAATGAGAGAATGGAGAGTGGCTTTAGATGTAAAGTCAGGTGATGCGGTCAATAGGGGATGTGAGTATAACTTGCCTCTCCCAAGTCACGGATTCTCTTTAAGAACCGCTTTTCAAAATGTGTGGGATCCACTTCAGTTTGTGGCTTTTTCTCTGAAACAATGTCTGGATCTAACAGGAGAGAGAAGAACACATGTTAATAAGGTGTGACTGCCACTAACGGCTCCTTGTTACTCCCCCACTCCCTGAGGCATCGGCTGGTCTCAGTTACACAGCACAAGACAGTGTCATACTCTGCTCCTCCAGCTTATTGATGTCTCTCATGATGGCTCGGAAGAAAGGTCTCTGATTGGGGTCATAGTTCATGCAGCGGGTCATAAGGTCAGCCAGCTCCTTACAAGATGGTGTCACTGGCCTGCATCGGCTTTCATAGAATCTCTCTTTCTGTAAAGAGGACCACATGTTAAGAAACCAAAGGAACCACCACCCATAAACCTTTTAGTCCCAGCTCAGAAGGAGTTGCTAATCTCTAATTTAATTCCCCAAAGCCTTGATTAAAGGTAGATTTTATAAATTTGCGTTACTGTTGCCTTATTTCCGCTTTGAGAAATCCTGTCTTGATAATAAAATAATCCATAGTCATGATACAATAGAAACTCAATAAATACCTGTGTGTTAATTTTACTGAATAATAGGCACTTAAAAATCTCAGATAAACAATACTATAATGATCTGTTGAGCACATGCTGTATGCCTGGCACTCTATGTGCATTCTTTACTTATTTCCACAACAACCCTGGCAAAGTAGGTTATTATTCATCCCCATTTTAAGATGATGAAACAAGCTCAAGGAAGTTACATTTTCAAGGTCACACAGCCAGTAAACCTGTGGAGGAGATTCAAACCTGCACCCATCTCTTCCTACAATATGAGGCTGCCTGGTAACTGCTGAGATGACCATGAGTGTCCAAGAAGTTCTCACTCAGCTCACAACCTGGAAAGCAACTGCTCACCTCGATCAGTGTCTTGTCTTTCAGGGGGATCTCGCCATTGTAGCAGATTTCCCAGAGGGTGGTTCCAAAGCTCCATTTGTCTGCGGCCACGCTCAGGTTCTTGCAGTCTTCCACACACTCAGGAGCAATCCACGGGATTCGTTCTATGCACTCTGGAAAAAGACAACAGATATTTATAGATCAGTTTCTGGAATCATGTGGGAAGTAAATCACTGTCATTGCAGTAAGAGCCATGAGCTACTGAAGAAACTATTTCAAACAGTGTTTCCCAAACAACGACCATGGTTACACTGGTCCCATGGGTAGTGCATTAAAGGTGTAGTTTTCCAGGCCCCTGACCCAGGGCACTTCAGCTGCATCAGTCTGAGGTAGGGGCAGCAGGAAGGTCATCTGCAGCCAATCTTCTGAAGCCCTGGCCTTAGAAATAGCAAAGCACCCCAGGGTGAAGGCCAACATGCTGGGCAAGGAGGAGGGGTTGTATGGACAAAGGCTTAATAAAGAAAGAAAAAGCAGGGGAGGAGAAGAGACCAACATATGCAAAGTAGGCATGGGCTAATCTCAGCTACTCTGCACAATTGCCCTGCAATGCGTATTTGTTTTATGTGGGTTTTCTTTCATTTGGAAAAGAACAAAGGAAGGAAAGACTGTGGTAAAGTCATCCCTTCTTAGGTGATGCGCCCATCTCTTCCTCCAATACAAGACTTCCTGGTAACTCCCGAGGCTACCTCTGTAGACCCTGTCCTGACTTCAAACCAAGGCCAGGAATCTCAGTGGACACCCCAGCTGCATCCATGGAAATGGTGAGCTGTGTCCCTCCTACTGCATAGTCAGCACCTTGAGGGCAGAGACAGCCCCCCTGCAATGCTCCTTATCTCCCTTGGCCCCCAGGGCATGCTAGGAACACCTGACACCCATTTGCTGAAGCGTCCCTTCTAAGAGGTGACAAACCCCCAACACCGGCCCCCTGCCTCACATGGAGTAGGGTGGGTGGGAGGTGAGGGCTGGGGATGGGTGGAAGGGCAGGGGAGACACACCTTGCCTGGACAGTACAGTAATGGGGATGCCGGGGTCACTGAGCTTGATGAACGGGCCACACTCGCTGTCAATGCCCTCACGGGCCAGGAGGAGGTTTTTAGTGCACACATTTCCATGGACCAGGTCCTTATCCTCCTGCAGAGAGAAAAGGGTGAGCCCAGCGAAGTTGCCCATGAGGATGCCTGTCTTTGCTCCTTCCCGTATGTCCTCTGTTTCCAACACTGGCCCCTCAGATCAGTTCTTCACATTCCCCAGCTACAACCAGACCCAGGCAGTCTAGTTCTCCCACTGATTATCTGGGTGGTTTGGGTACATTATACAATGTCCCCCTGTCCCAGTTTCCTCATCAGTGACACACGGAAATAGTGAAGCATGGCTCTTAGGGCTTCTGTATATAATGAACAGTTTTTTTCTAAAAACAAATGAGCCATGGTCAGCACCCAGTCATGTTAGCTACTACTCATGCTAGTAGTTTCCCTCATTCCCTCAACAAGTACTACACTATTTCTACACTTACCATACACTGCAGTACAGAAGCCAGTCCTCTGATGTGGTAAAATTTCCCTCTCAACAAGATTCATGTGTGAGCATACACAACAGCCTAACATGACTGTGTTCACTAGGCACCAGGCACAACTGTGTTTAACCTCAGAGCCTAGTTCCCTCCAGCTGCTTGGCTAGCACCTCCTTCCCACCATTCCCCAACTAGAGTATTCTGGTTCATTGTGGGGGCCACCATGGACATGAGAACACACTTACCAAGTAACTCAGGGCACTAGCCAGCTGCTTGGCAACTTTGAACTTCCATGGTGTGGTGAGGACATCACTTTTCCGGTGCATGAAGAGATCCAGGGGCCCCCCCTCCACAAACTCTTCCACCATGATATCTATGAGCACAAAAAAACACACATCTGAACCTCTGTCTGGGACCATTTTCTCTCTCATCCCCTATGAGAGTCCATGTTAGCGGCTGGTACTGGGCAAGGGAGGACCCAGACATCCCTGGGAGGTGTAAATGGCAGAGTGCTTTGGAGTTGGACAGACAACCTCTGCCCTTCTAGAGCGCTTTCTACTCTGACTCTAGGGCAGTGAACTCAGCTTATTCCAACCGCCCGGGTCTAGCACAAGGTGGGGCCCACAGCTAGCAAGAAGTAAATGTTCAAGAAATGAGTGAAAAATAAATGGGATTTGGTTCCATGTTCACTATTAACTTAAGCAAGTGACCTGCTCAGTACCTCGAATTCCTTGACTGCAAAAAGAACGGCAAGGAGCCCAGGCAACATGAAGGCAGCCCCAGCCCCTGCTGTCTTCACAGCACCTGTGTTATCCAACTAGGGCCAACCACCCCTTCCAAAAAGAATACACTTACTCTCCACGTCTCGGACACAGACGCCATAGAGGTATACGATGTGTTTGTGCGAGACCTGTCTCATCATGCTGGCTGCCTCAAAAAAAGCCTATGGGAAAACAGGACAAGGGAACGGCAACGGTCAGTCTCCACGGGTCTGATTCCAAGGGGCTTTCTGAGAGGAAAACTCACCACTGTCAGCATCCCAGGCCCTGAAACTATTCCCCTGGCTTTGCCTCCCCAGAGGGCTTGCCAGACCTTCATCCCAGGGCCAGTCTGGCTGGGATATAAGATTTATTTAGAAGACCTCATAGGATGCAAAGCTAGGCTGGTGTGATAGGCTAGCTGACAATTTCCCCACTGGATACTCATGACCACTACTTTCTCTTTTTTCAAACTGTGGGAGGTAGCAGTGTTTGACATTGTGCTAGAAATAAAGGCAAACTGTGGCAGCTCCCTCTCAAGGCGGCTTTATCACGCTCTAAGAGTTTGTGGGATCCTGGGTAAGTCATTTCACTCCTCTGTGCTTTGATTCTCTAGTGTTGCTGTGAAGTGACAGCCCTGGACTATATATAAGGGACTTTGAGAACATTTAGCTGGGGTCCTGGGGCTCCACGGCACCACCACAAGGACCTCCAGGCAGGACGTGGGAGGAGAAGGGAGGGGCAGGTCAAGTGGGAGGGGCTGCTCATCCCACTTCACTTTCAATCTTCCCTCACTTATTATATGGACTGGGTTTACCTAAGGTTGTATTTGAAGAAAGGAATCCTGACTAGAAGACAAGTCTGGAAACCGCTAGATAAAAATAAGGGTGAAAGTCCTTCACCGGCTACTGTGCTCCACCTGCTCCAGAGATGGGGGAGGAGAAAGGGTGGGTTATGCAAATGACACTTGCCAGAGAAATGTCCCTGTGGCTGGGGTCTAAGACTTTGAGGATCACTTTGATTCTCTTCTCTTCAGAAGCTCCTTCATCATCCTTGAAATCCACCAAGGTCCCAGAGTAGATGTGTGTCCGTGTGCCTCTCCCAAGGTGCTCACTCTGAAGGAGGAAGCCGGAGGTTGGGGTGATCTTTCTCTAGGGCTGCAGTGATGCCAGAGTCTGGCACTGAGGCCCTATGGGAACACAGAACACCGGCAGGGGCGGGGCAAAGGCCAAATGACCCCAGCAGCTCACAGCCCACCCAGTGCCTTGTCCTGGTCAGACCTCCAGAGACGACTCAAGAGAGGACCCCACTGAGGACTCCTCCACTCACAGGCTGGGTACAGAGAGAAAGGGCTTGTTAGTCCTGATTCTACCATTTGCTGGCCATTTAACTTAGAGACCTTCTTTCACCATGCTCAATTTCTGCTCACTTTCTGTAAACAGGGATAATAATGGTGCCTACCTCATAGGGCTGTGGTAACAATCAAGTGAGGAAATAGGTATGAAAGCTCCTGGTACAGACCTTAGCACATAGTAGGTAGAATCCAATCTGTTGGGCTGAGATTTTTTTGTTTGATTGCCCCCTAGAGCAGGTACACACTATTTCTCCTTCTCACACACAAACTGTTCATTTTTCATGTTGTGGACTCTGATTCCCTCAAAATCCTACCCAACAATTTCCGGGATTAACTTTAAAAAAAGTTAACAAACTACTCCCCATGCTTACTGCCCTCCGCCAGGTCTTTAATAGCAGTGAGTCCAAGATTTGCTCCAGAGCATCTACACATGTGCATGAATACATGCATGCTAAGCTTTAAAATTAGTGAGGCAATTTATACACAGACTTGCCCCAGCAAGAAGAGAGGGGGAGGTGATTTGAGGACAGAGGCAGAGACTGAGGGGGTGGGCCCTCCGTTTCCCCACATACAGAAAGGGATAATATCTCTAAGAAAGTGGCACAAGGACTATATGAGATCATCTGTCCAAGCCCCAGCACATAATGATCTGTCTCTAAGGACTCTTGCAGTTGAAGCTTTAAACATTTGATTTAAACATTCCTGATATTTGGAAATCAAAATGTGATTCATAAAGTTTAGGGACTGGCAAGCAATTGGCATTAACCCCATAAAACTTGTAAATTGAAGTTCTGTTACTCTATTATCCTAGAACCCTCTGTAAATACAGAAAATGGACTGTCCTCCACAGGACTGTGTACAATTGTTAACTGAGTATATTAATTTGCACAAATGCCACCATTTGTCATCTGTCACCGCAGAATGATGATACATCTGCCCTGTCTCCCTTATACTGGCAAAGTCCTATGATTTTTCATTAAAGCTGCATGTGTCATGAAGCAATTCATTATAAGGTTATGGGAAGCTGTATTCCCAGATCATCCCGTAAAAGCCATATGCTTTCAGAATAATTATTTTTCCCCAGAAGGTTAGCTTATTCTGATGGCCAAGTCCAGGCACCAGGATTGTGCAGCAACCCACAGAGGCCTCTGCCCTGTCCCCCCAGTCCCCCCACCAGTCTCCGTCCATGCTGCTCCCTCTGCCTTTGCTCCGCACTTGCCGTTCATCCCCTGGGACTCTGCTTTGATGCCACTTTCTCCAGGAAGCCATCTCTGTCCTCCCAAGGCTAGGTGGGAGGCTAGGATGATCGCCTCGAGAGTCCCGCATCCCACTGTACTTCCCCACTTAGGACTTTTATCTTGACAATGTAATTATCTACTTAAGATAGACAGGAATCTGCCTCCTCACCAGACTGAGCCTGTCAAGGATCATGATCACACCTGGTATATGGAAGTACGCAATCACTGTTAGCTAAATGAATGAATGATGGAGGCATGGACGATGGCCATTACCTGCCCAGGGACTCAAGGGTAAGGAAAGGTGTAAGACCCCAAGTACAGTGTCAGGTTCTAGACCAAGAATCAAATTCTACTGATTCAAACAGCAAACTGAACATATTATAAAATATACCAGGCCAGGGTCAGTACAGGGTTAATGGAATTTATAATCCATGGAAGTCAAGTTCTAGACCTCTAGTAGTAGTATTGCTGCTCTGGTGATTTTAATCTCTGAACACAGGTCTGACACCACCAGGGAGACACAGGAAGATTGGCCCTCAGTGAAGAATTTACCATAAGCCAAGTGCTGTGGACTTCTATGCCCTCAAAATCCTACCCAACAATTTCAGGGATTAACTGAAAAAAAAAGCTAATAAACTACTCCCCATGCTTGCTACCCTCCACCAAGCTCAACGGCAGTGAGTCCAAGATTTGCTCCAAAGCTCCAAAGCATCATGGTCTCCCGCAGGTGGTAAGCTGCCGGTGCAGATTCCTTCCCTCCAAGGCAGCTGGCGTCTGTCTTCTTAGCACCCTCCCCCACCCCCCATGGATGACTCTGTGTGAGGGGGCTGTTACACAACAGAAAGGCAGATGCTCTCTGGGCCTCACAGCATTAGCTAAAGCCCAAGCGCAGCTCAAACGGGGCCTGCCTGCTTAAGGCTGCAGACTCTGGGCAAAAGGCCTCCCATGGCTGGGACACTGGTCTGAGGGATGTTTCTCAAGACAGTTCTCCCTCAGGTCCAAGTTCTTCACTATGTTCTGTGTTCCCCTAGCTTTGCTCCTTCTGGATGCATCATCAGAAAACCCAGGACTGAACTTTAGGAGTGATTGTCACACAGCATGTTGTGGGCTAATGAGGGTTGTCAGTCCACACTCCCTACGGAGATCCGATTCTTGCTGCCCTGTCAGCATTCCCACCAAGTTCTCCACTCCTCCTGTCTGCAGAAGACCCACAACAGAAGGTTCCTGTAGCCCTGGATGAGCCCACAAAGCCTGATGAAACTACTGCCTTCACAGAGAAAGTGTCTCCAGGGAGCATCAAGGCTGGGCAGGATAACAGCTAAACAGCTTTAGCTATGAAAGCAAAGTTTCCTTGTTCTTTATCTGTTAGGATTTCCCCAAACCAGGAGCCTCAGCAATGACTCACTTGCACAATATCTTTCTTGAGGATCCGATCGAAACTCAGCTGGCTCATGGGATAGACAGGCTGCCACTCCTGAGCTTTCTTAGTAGCCACCAGCAGATTGGAGATTTCTGTGGAAGACAGTAAGTAGATAATTCTGAGCAGGGTAGCAAAGGTCTAAGATCCCAGTGAGCAAATGTCTGCCAAGCCATTTGGGGCTGCTGAACACGTATTCATGTACTTGTTGGTTCAGTCATTCAATAAATATTCATTAGGTACTTGATTCCTGCCCTCCAAGAGCCCACACAGGCTAAGAACAAAGCCAAAATTAATCCAATAAACTCAAAAGGAAAGCTACAATCTGGGCAGCTTTGCCCCTGTCCAGGCTCAGGGGCTCTGGGGTTGACACAGCAGGATCTGTTCTGGTAAGAAGAGGTCAGAGAAGGTTTCCCTAAGGAAACACAATTTTAAAATCTGAGAATAGAAACTCTAAGAAGGCAAGGACTGTGTCTACCTCCTATTCTACCTCCATAGCTGGGTATATAATAGGTGCGCAATAAGCGTTTGTTAGAGATGTGAATGAATAATCAGGGTATGAGTCAAAGGATGAAAGCTGAGGAGGGAGGAAGCAGCAGTGCATTGGGTAGGGAGTTACAGGGACAAAGCAGGAGAGTGAAAAACACTGGTTTTGTGCAGAATATGGCAGGTGACCCACTGAAAGGCTCTGCCTGAACCTTCCAGACTCCCAGCACTGCCTGACACTACATGCTTGCTGAATGTACAGATTATGAGCAGACCTCATCCCTCAAATTCTATTAATTGAAATAGCAAACTGAACACATTATAAAATCTGCTGGGCCAGGGTCAGCATAAGGTAAATTGAATTTATAATCCATGGAAGCTGCCTTCCCACCATGGAGCCACAATGACCTACAAGGTTATTGCTGGGCAGGAGAACACCTTCCAGATTTGGACAGTAGTGAGGGCATTCTGGGAACCCCTGAAGAATCCCATCAATTAGCTGCTGAGCCCCAAGCTGGCACAGTGGGCCAACTGACTCGAATGTTGTCTTTCAAAAGCTCACTTCCCTGCAAGGCAGAGTTTGTTTTTCCAGCTCACATTTTCCTGACTGCTCTCCCTGTGCCAGCCACCATCCTAAGAGCTTACACACATTAACCTCTTTGTCCTCATGACAATCCCATGAGGTATATGGTATTATCATTCCTCTCTCAACGTTTAGGGCAGAGAACAGAGATTTAGAGTAAACAATTTGATCAAGGTCAGGCAGCTAACCTTGACAGCGAGCCCCAGACTTAGGATTCCCACTGAAGCCAGGGATGGCTCCAGTTTCTTACCTTCCCAGAGCACACCTGGCCCTAGAGGGAGCCAAAAAGTGGGTTCAGGTACAGGCTCCCCTGTTATCATACCCTGGGTACTCTTTCCAGAGTCTACTCTCTTCCATTCTGTTATCCTGACTCCACCCTGATACCCAGGTAATATCAGATTCACGCAGGCGAGAGGACTGCCCTGGTGGAGAAAAGACATCTAGAAAGGGCCCAGGGAATTGCTGAAGCAGTAGAGCAGTTTGGCGAATCAGAGAGAAGGATGGAAGCAAGGGCCATTTATGGACTGACTATCTACATGGCTGTTTCAGAGAACATGGCACTAGGGCCAACAGTGGGGAGTGGGCAAAACTGCTAAACCTCCATGAACCTGTTTTCTTACTAGAAAAATGGGGGACACAGTAGTGCCCCACATTAGGCTGCTGTGAGAGGTAAATGAGATAATGCACACAAGGGGCTTACTTCAGGGCCTGGTGCATAGTGAGTGCTGCAGAACTGATGGCCATCGTGGTTATGACTAATTTTACATCTTAGCATCTTTATCCTTGTAGAGCTGGTTGGCATTAGTCTGCAGAAGTCCTCAGCATCAGAGATGAAGCATATAGAAATAAAGCACCAAGCCCAACTCCACAGATGAGGATATGAGAGGTACGGTGGTGAGTGGGCCAGTGAGTCCTGTGGGGCCTTCCCTTCTAAGATGGTGGCCCTCAGACACGGAGAGGGGTGGTGGGGCTGACAATGCACAAGGAATGTGGACTTACTTTACTGTCACGCCCACTCTGAGCATCAGCCTGCTTTCTCTTTATTCCATGAGCGCTTTGTCGGCAATATTTTCAAGTGAGAAACCCAGGCTGGAGTCTGACTGTCAGTACCTTGCAGTTAAGAGGGCAGAGGCACTAAGGAACTCAAAATGACATTCTCTTTAATTTTCATGATTTCACCACTTCTCTAATTTGCAGGGGGCAGAGGGAAGGAGAGGGCTTCTGAGGACCTGCATAAGGAAGCCTCACACACAGGGCTTGTTGTTACTGTCTCACTCCCAGTCCTGCCCCTGTCCTCTGCTCCCCTCCCCTCCCCTCCCCTGCCCAGTACTCTTCCTCACAGGTCAGGCTACTTGCCCCAGAGTCCTAGGCTAATGGCTGCACCTTGCACCTTCACAAAGAGGGTGATGTATGGGAAAGACCACTGGAGCTGGAGTCAGAAGATGTAAGTCCAAATTCCACTCCTCCTTTACCTACATAAATGATCTTCGGCAGGTATAATGGGGTAACAACATACTCTGGGTTGTTCTGAAGATTAAATGACTTAAAGTATGAATGACCCTCAAACAGTGCCTGGCAAACTATAAACATTATTCACGTGGTGGTAGCCATTATCATCATTATTTGTCACTACTATTATTATAACTACTACTACTGATACGACTAGCTGTGTGGCCTGAAGCAAGTCACTGAATATCTCTGAGCCTCACTTTCCTCACCTTTATAATAGCTACAAAGAGATACTGTATGGATGAAAGAAATGCAGATAGGCATGTAAACAGCTTGGGACTAGTAGCTACCCACCATATGGTAGCTACAGTTGTAATTGTTCACTTGACAAATATGCGTGAAGGCCGATTCTGTGCTGGGAGCTGTGCTTCCCATGAATCAAAATGTTAAGTGACACTCTGATCCCATCTTAAGAGCTCATAGTCAAGTGTGAGAGACAGGCACTAAATACATTCCGTGCAGAGTCCCTGCAGCCTCCACAGCAGCCATGAGAGAGGGGTTCACTTCCATCCCTAGGCTTCTCCCACCACAGCTCCTGGCTCCCAGGTCCGGGTGCATACGGTGCTGTCTACTCCAGGGAGCTCCCCAGATGATCTCTGCAAAGAGACCATGGCCAGTCACCCATCTGCCGCCACCTTCTCACATCCTGTGGCTGCTGTTCTCCATTTTCCTAACCTCACACAGAGACCAGTAATCCCTATGAAAGTAAAAACCGCTTCTAAATATCTAGAAGGATAGAGTACATGAGTAAATAGCATTGTTGGGCTTTAAGGTCTTACTTCACTCTAAGGTCTCACAGCCAAGGACAGATGTGTTTTTACCTTTGTGGAACATCTTCAAGCACAAAAACAAAGGCAGCAGTTACCCCTGAGGCTGGCAGGAAACCCTATCTGATCAAACAGAACACACGTCCTTCCTCTTTCACCAAGTTCAGTGGCAGTGCCCTGCTAGGAGACCAGAAAGTGACTGGTCAGGAACCCAGGCCCCCTTGTCCTGGGGCTCCTTCGTAAAGACTTGGACATAGTCCCCCAGAAGAACAAGATATACTTCGGGCAGAGACTCCTCACAGTATCTTGGCCACATGTTTTGGAGCCTCAGGAACAACTGTGCTGTGCTTTTCCAAGGCCTGAGCTCGTGTAAGAGATGGGTCTGACAGACGCAGGGTAGCACCTTGTGGAGGGGGAGCATCAAAAAAACCAGTACTCCAGGGATCTGGTGTTTTGGGTAGACCTGGCACTCAAACAGTTTTTTGACCTTGATCTTCAATCAGACCCACTTCACTTCTCTAGGTCTCAATTTTATCATCTATAAAATGGGACCCTTGAGCAGGTAATCCCCAAAGTGTCCCTGCAGTTCTCACATTCTCAGAGGTGATGGACCTACCTGCAGGGGATTGGTGACACTATTCATAGGGCTTAAAAAAGAGCAGCTGAGTTCCTTGCCCCTTCTATCCATGTTACTCCCTCATCCTCCCTCCCAGGACTTCCCACTGCCTGCAGGATTATGTCCCAGCTCTTTGGCATGGCATCCAAGGCCTTTTATGACCCAAAATCTCTCCCCTTCCAACCTCCCCTCTCCCTTCATTGTAACTTCACTGAACACATTAGCCTCCCAGAACCTTTCTGCAGTCTCTGTTTTTCCTGCCACTTCACCAGTACAACTGCTCTGTGGAAATGCCCGTATCTAACTGTCAAGCTCCTGCTCATTGTCCAACACTTGGCTCAAGATCCACTTCCTCCATGCAGCTTCCATGCCATGCAACTCAAGGATTTTGACCACCTGCTTTTTTGCAAGCCCAGGTCTGTGGAAACCTCATATACCTGCAACATTTTTCTGCATTACACTGGAAACCCTCAGAGAGCAGAGACTGGGTGTTAGGCATTTCTGGTTCTTTGCATTTAACACAGGTGTTGGCCCATAGAGGATGTGCTAGGAACTTTTCTTAGATAAACTACTAACAGGGGAACATCTAGAGACATTTTATCTTTAAGAAGAAAGAAGTTTCTGCTTACTAATCCTGAATGTTCCCCCTTCTTGCAACCTAACTGAGATGCTAAGAAAAGGTGTAGGTCTTTTCTATAGAAAATGCTAACACAAGGAATGAGATTTGAGTTGTGGAAAGACTTGTAACAAAACTCAATAAAAAACACCTAGAAACTGGGAAGGGGCCACTTCTTCACACCAGCCAGCATCTTTTGGTTGATCTGGGTCTTGGGGTGTCACCAGGGTACAAAGGGTAGCACTGATGGACACGCTGAGCTATGGCACAGGGAGACCAACCTCGGGGCTTGGGCTGGCAACACCGCTTCAGCACAAAGCTGATGTTGTCCGTGCGCAGAATCTGCTTCTTGAGGTGGCTCATGAGGTCCCCCAGACTGGGGAAGCTGCGGTCTGAGCCATGCAGGCTGTAGCGGCCCTTCTGCACCTCAATCTGAAAGTTCTTGAACTGTTTCTGGCCACCAAGCATCTGCCATTCAGGAAAATAACAAAAAAACAATTTGTTTTAAAAGAGTCAGGCAAATGTACCCATGGTTTTGTAAGATGTTAACAAGGGAAGCTGGGTGATAGGTATATACAAACTTTGTATTATCTTTGCAACATTTCTGTAAATCTAAAATTCAAAAATAAAAAGTTTATTATAAACAAGTAAACAATAAATAAATAAATAGTAAAAGGGGGTCTAGGAGAACACGCTGGTAACAGGGAGCTAACACAAGGGAGAAAGCATAACAGAGCAGTGATCTCCACAACACCATCACTGCTTTAGACCTGTAAGATGTTCATACAGGTATCAACCTCACAGGATTGTTGCTACGATTATATGACATGGTGCATGTAAAGAAACTTATTGAGTCTTTATAAAGGTTAGCAAATATTATTGTGCGTGAAATAGTAATTACTAGCAAAACTAATCCAGGAATGCCCTGAAACTGAGCCCTTCCAGACCATGGGTCTATTTGAAGAGAAGCATCCTGAGAAGTGGTAATCAGCTATTTGATCCAGTTCAGTATTCCATGGAGCAGAGGAAGTACAGACAGAATTTTTCCTTCATGGACACTTTTTGTATAAAGAAAACTATTTTAGTGGTTAAGAACAGGGCCAGAAAGATCTACTTATGGTGTAAACTAGGACAAGCTATATAAAATCTTGATGCCTCGGTTTCTTCACCTGTACAACATGGATAAATACCACCTATCTCACAGGGCTGGACTAAGGCTTAAATGAGAATGCATAAAGAATTCAGCACAGTGTATGGTGGTGTATGATTCTTGTTTTCCCCAGGCAATCCGATGCCAGGACGACCATGTTACTGAATCACTGATATTTTTGGTATAGCAAAGGTCAACTCCACCTGAGAAGGCTGGGCTATCTCATGCACTGATCCATGTTAAAAAATATGAAACTTCCTCCAAAGACTGATGAATATAGCAGAGAGGCAACCTGCCAAGGCTACAAACCTGGTAAGTTCTGAGACACTGTGTCCATATCAGCCATGCAGACTTGCTGTACAGAACACCCCAGCAGGTAGTGGCACCCAGAGACTTCACTCAGGACACCTGGAAGCACTGGGTTCCTTCTACCATTTCCTCTTCCCACCCTTGACTGAGTCCAGTCCTTGGGGGTTCTGTAGGACTTTTCCTTCTGGTGACTGAGGTCTACAATATGCTAATGTGCTGACTTCCATCTTGCATGCCCACCCTGCCCAGTTCTCCCCATTCATGTTAACCCAATCAACCCTAGTGTATTTATATGGACTAATTATGTAAAACTCATTGTCTTTTAAAATATTCCTTTTTAGGAGAAAAAAGGTGGCAGAGTAGGAAGACAAGGCAGAAACCTCCTCCCACACATATATAGACCAAGGAAGCCACTCCAGCAAATACAACCAGCCCTGAAAACAACCTGATGACTGCAGAACAGACCACCTACACCTGGGGAAGAAGAGAAGACCACACAGAGAAGGGTAAAGTGGCAGAGCCACAAGTGATTGGGACCCAAGCCCTTCCCCCATCCCACTGCATAAGTGGGAGGGAGAGGAACAGAGTGGGGAAGGGCTAAGCACTCAGAAACTCTGCACACTTGGCCTTGGAAATTTGCTCTGGGAATGTTAAGTCCACATTGCAATGAACTTTGGTGATTAATAGGACTGGACACCACAGAGTTGGAATACTATGGGAGGCTGAGACTCCTGCCTCTTTTGGAGGACAGGCATGGTCCATCAGTCCTGCTGAGACCCAACATAGAGGCAGCACTTTGAATACTTACAAGCAGTGGGAAGAGTGCCAGAGGGGCAAGGGTTGGAAGGAGCGCTCTCCACAGGAGAAAAGGCAGGTGGACGACACTTCCCTGGCCCTCCTCAGCTGAACTGGTCAGAGGCTCACAGAAGCCCTAAACGCTCCATGCCCTTTGCTGGTAGCTCAGCCCCAAGGCACATCTCTGCACACCTGCCTGCCTGCCTGGCAGGCAGAAGCAGACTATCTCAGGTTTCTTGGCCCTCTCTCAGCCCAACTGGGGAGATGTCAGCAGGAGCCAGCTCTGAGATATCCTTCCTCCTTGCAGGTACCCAATCCCACCCCCCACCCCTGCCTACCCCATCAGCCCAGCAGCACTGTCATTGCTGCAGGGCAGGCAGAGGGTGGCACTGCTCACAACAATCCGAGAAGCCACTGCTGGGATCACAAAGGGGCCAACTAAGGCAAATTGCCCTCTGCAGTGGACTGAGATAGGTCACTGCTGGCAGACAGAAAGGCGCCCCCTACAATAGCCCACCAATAGCAACTGGTGCTTTGGTGCAAAGAACAATCAGGCACTGGAGAGTAAAGAGTCTTAAACTTCTGGGCACCACAGGATGCCTTCTTCATAAAGCCTTAACTCTCTAGACTAGGAAACATAGTGGATCTATCTAATACAAAAGAAGAAACACAGAAACACAGACAAAATGAGGAGATAGAGGAAATACGTTTAAAAAAAGGATAGGACACCAGAAAGAGGCCTAAATGAAATGGAGATCATCAATCTTCTTGATGAAGATTTCAAAGTAACAGTCATAAATTGTTCACTGATGTGTGGAAAAGTACTGATGATCTCATGGAGGACTTCAACAAAGAGAAGAGTTGGAAAAGAGCCTCTCAAGAGCTGAAGAATATAGTAAATGAAATGAAAAATACCATGGAAGGAATGAATAAGAGACTGCTGCAGGTAGAGGAGACAATCAAGGAGCTGGAAATTAGAGAACAGGAAAACAACGAGGCCAAGGAACAGAGAGAGAAAAGAATCTCTAGAAATGAGAGGATGCTAAAGAAGCTGTGTGATAACTCAAAATAAAACAATATTCATAAAATAGGATTACCATTAGGAGAATAGAGACACAAAGGGGTAGACAGTCTTTTTGAAGAAATAATACCTGGAAACTTTGTCAATCTGGGGAAGGATATAGACACCTAAGTCCAGGAAGTGCAGAGTCCCTAACAAAAAGAACCCCAGGAAGACAATACCAATACATATAATAATTAAAATTACAAAGATTAAGGATAAAGACTGGGTACTGAAAGCATCTAGTGAGAGAAAAAAGATTACTTATAAGGGAAACCCCATCAGGAAATCAGCAGATTTCTCAGCAGAAACTTTAAGGCGAGAAGGGAGTGGCATGAAATATTTAATGTATGAAAACAGAAGGATTATCATTATCAAGTAAGAATCCTCCACCTAGCAAGACTATCATTCAATACTGAAGGAGAGATTAAAAATTTCCCAGATAAATGAATACTGAAGGAAATCACCACCACCAAACTGGCATTATGGCACATAAAGGGACTTTCTGTAGAAGGAAATGTTCTTAAGCCTAAATAGCTTTCACATGTGAAAATCAACCCACAGTAAAGGTAGTAGGCCAATTACTTACCAAGAAGAAGTAAAACCAACTATACACAAAATCAGTCAAGGAACACACAAAAAAATGCAGATTATGACATCTACTACATAAATGAAAAAGGAAGTCACAATAAATACCATAGAAAAAACAAAGAATTATTATAGAATTTATGAAAAATTATATGCCAATAAATTGGGCAACCTAGAGAAATGGACAAATTTCTTAAAAAATACAACCTTCCAGGTAAGGTTGTATTTCTGACCCAGAAAGAAACAAAATCTGAACAGACCAATTGCCAGTAATGAAACTGAGCTGGTAGTCAAAACAGTTCAGGTACAGATGGCTTCACAGCTGAATTCTACCAAACATGTGAAGAACAGCTAATACGCATCCTTTTTAAAGTATTCCAAAAAGTAAAAGAGGGAATATTTCCAGACTCATTCTATGAGGCCAGCATCACTCTAATATCAAACCAGACAAAGACACTACAAAAAAAGAATTATACACCAATATATCCGATGTACACAGATGCAAAAATCCTGAACAAAATATTAGCAAGCTAAATTACAAAATACATCAAAAGGATCGTCTATCACGACCTAAGTGGGACTGATTCCAGGGATGCAAGGATGGTACAATATTCATAAATCAATCAATGTGATACATGCACATTAACAAAAAGGATAAAAACCACATGATTATCTCAATAGATACTGAAAAGGCACTTTACAAATTCAACATCCATTCATGATAAAAACTCTCAGCCAAATGGGTATAGAGGGTATGACCTCAACATAATAAAGGCCATATATGACAAACACACAGCTAACATACTCAATGGCAAAAAGCTGAAAGCTTTCCTCTAGGACCTGGAACATAACATGTTCACTTGTATCACTTTTATTTAACACAGTACTATTGGTTCTAGCCACTGCAATCAGACAAGACAAAGAGATAAAAGGCATCCAAATTGGTAAGGAAGAAGTTAAACTATCATTATTTGTAGAGGACTTGATATTATACATAGAAAACCATAAAGACACTACCAAAAACTATTATAACTAATACCTGGATTCAGCAAAGCTGCAGGATTCGCAATTAATACACAGAAATCTGCCGCATTCTTGTATACTAACAATGAACTAGAAGAAAGAGCAATCAGGAAACAATTTCATTTATGCTTGTATCAAAAACTATGAAATACCTAGGAATAAAACTAATCAAGCAGGTGAAAGAGCTGTACTCTGGAAACTATAAGACACTCATGAGAGAAACTGAGAAATGCACAAATAAATGGAAACCTATAATGCTCATGGGCAGGAAGAATTGATATTGCCAAAATGGCCATCTGCCCAAATCAATTTAGAGAGTTGATGCAATCCTATCAAAATACCAACAACACTTTTCAATGAACTACAGCAAATAATCTTAAAATTCATATGGAACCACAAAAGAGCCAAATAGCCAAAGCAACCCTGAGAAAGAACAAAATGGGGGGTATTACACAACCTGACTTCAAGCTATCCTCCAAAGCAATCAAAATAGTATGCTACTGGCACAAGATGGACCCATAGATGAATGAACAGAATAGAGAGCCCAGATATAAACCCACACATATTCAGTCAATTAATATATGATAAAGGAGCCATGAATATACAATGGGAAAAAGACAGTCACTTCAATAATTGGTGTTGGGAAAACTGGACAACTACACGCACGAGAATGAAACTGGATTATTGTCTACCTCCATATACAAAAGTAAATTCAAAATGGATTAAAGACCTAAATGTAAGCTATGAAACTATAACACTCTTAGAATAAAACACAGGCAAAAATCTCTTGAACATAACCATGAGCAATTTTTTCCTGGACACATCTCCTCAGGCAAGGGAAACAAAATAAAAAATGAACAAGTGGAACTACATTAAACTAAAAAGCTTCTGTACAACAAAACCATCAACAGAACAAAAAGGCAACCTACAGTATGGGAGAATATGATTTATCTGATAAGGGGTTACCATCCAAAATATATAAAGAACTCATATGCCTTAACTCCAAAAAAGCAAATAACCCAATTAAAAAATGGGCAGAGGACCTGAACAGATATTTTTCCAAAGAAGAAATACAGATCACTAACAGGCACATGAAAAGATGCTCCACATCACTCATCATCAAGGAAATGCACATCAAAACCACAATGAGATACCACTGCACACCAGTTAGAATGGTCACTATCCAAAGGTAAGAAGTAACCAGTGCTGGTGAGGATCTGGAGGAAAGGGAATGCCCTACACTGCTGATGGGAATGTAAACTGGTGCAGCCACTGTGGAAAGCAGTATGGTGGTTCCTCAGAAAACCAAAAATAGAAATAACATGACCCAGTAATTCCACTTGTGGCAATTTACCCAAAGAAAACAAAATCCCTAATTTAAAAAATATATGCACCTCTATGTTTACTGCCACATTATTTACAATAGCCAAGTTATGGGAGCAACCTAAAGATCCATCAATAGATGAATGGATAAAGAACATGTGGTACATATACACAATGGAATATTATTCAGCCTTAAAAAAAGAAATCCTGCTATTTGCAACAACATGGATGGACTAGAGGATACTATGCTAAGCAGAACAAGCCAGGTGGAGAAAAACAAAATACCATATGATTTCACTTATTTGTGGAATTTAAAAAAGAAAACAAAACAGCAGTAGACTCACAGACACTGAGAAGTGACTGGTGATTATCACTGGGGAAGGATTGGTGTAGGCAGGTGGGGAGGAGGAGGGTGATGAAGGGACACAAAAATTCTCAGTTGTAATATAAGTTGGTCACAGGGATGGTAGTACAGTATGAGGAATATAGCCAATGATTTTGTAACATCTTCCTATGTTGCCAGACAGTAACTGCATTGGAAGGGGTGAGGATTTAATAATATCGGTAAATGTTGAACCACTGTGTTGTATACTTGAAACCCATATAAGACTGTAAATCAATGATACTTCAATTAAAAAAATGAAAAAAATTCTTTTCTTGTATTTAAACATATTGCATGAATAACAAAGGCATGTGGCCTAGAGAGGTAAAGTGAACAATTCTGACTTCTATCTTAGCCTGCAGGCTCTTTCTCACATCACTCCTGGCTTGCATCTACACTTGAGTCACTAATGGACATCGCCACTTGTCAAAACATGGGACAACAATTTGTCTGTTAAAATGTCTTAAGCTACCATCTGGAGAAAACCGTGTTAGGCCAGGTTACCGAGCTAGCCTTCTTGGCACTGGTCTTTACCAGTAAATGCCACAAACTGCCATGGCTCTTGGTCTGTGATGTCCTTGACACTGAGTATAAAATAAACCACTCTAAATAATTACTCTAAATTTTCCAAGTGCTTATCCTGGTTTTCTGGTCCTGTTTCACCTTCCAGGGCCATAGTGGACCCCTCCCACAGGTCTCCTGGGAGAAAAAAAGGGTTCACTGTGTCTGGCTGTCCAGAAGCAGTCTCCTTTTGGAGAGCAGGTTGTCCCTTTCAGAACTCTCAGGGATTTTCTCAGAAACTCAGGCTTTTCTATTCCCATTCCCCAAGCTGGCCCTCTCTACAGCAGCTCCCGGACTGGTTGCACTGGGCACCCTGTAGTCACATGGCTTAGCCCAAGCCAGGGTCCTGACTGACCTCAGACTTTTCAAAGCAGGTGACGGTCATGAGAATGTTGTCGAAGTCAGTGCAGCTCCACCTTAGCACGTACATCCCCTCTTCACCTCCTTCTTGCCGCAATTTATTGATGGCATATTCTGTGCTGGAGGGAGAAAGAGGCAAAGGGAGAAAGAGCTCATACCAACAGGAACACTCTAAACCCCATGCAAAATCCACTTCCCTGAGTAGCCTCAAGTCTTATGATCCCATCACATTACCTGTCCTGGGTACAAACGTCTCTGATATGCTACATGAGGCAAGCTGGGATGCTGAGGAGCCCTGAGATGTTCAAGTCTTCAGGGTCTAGAAGAGGACTCCACCTGCTACCTAAGCTGAGTCCTGTTCATCTTCGATTTCCCCATACATCTCTTTCCAGCTCTAACCAGAAGAGCTCCCCAATGGCCAGTGATAGTTTCCCATGACACAGTAGTAGGGGTCTCTCTACACCATCCCCAGGCAGCAAACTAAAACCTGAGCCCCCAGGAAGGCATGAATTTGGGGTTCTCCTGTTCACTGCTGTATCCCCAGTAATCAGAGCATGGCTGGCTCACAGGAGCTGCTCAATAAATAAGTGAATAGTTGAATAATAATAAACACTGAATAAAGAAACCAATAAGGATTAGAATGATGTCAGTAGGGAATATCTATCTTACATTCCTTTGTATCCCCAGACCAATCAGTCCTGGCACATAGAGCAAAGTAAACTGCTAAATAAAACCATGCATGAGGTCACTATACCTAGTGAATAGTGGGTGCTAAGTGTTGGTGAAAGAGGGCTGATGTGGTCAACATGCGTTAGAAAGGCAGAGACCAACTGCTCCATGGTCTTCAACACCTTCATGGTTTTGCATATGGTGATGCCTCACCTGGGATACCCTTTCCCCTCTTTAACACCTGGTAAACCATCACTGATTTTTCAAAGTTTAATCCGATTTTAATGTTGCCCACTCTAAGATGGCACCTTAGGCAGTGAGTGTTACCTTCCACAGAACATTAAATTCAAATAATTCAACAAATATTATTGAGTGCCAGGCCCTGCTATGGGTGCTGAGGAAAAGCAGTGAGCAAAGTAGATTGCCCCTGCCTCTAAGGGGCTCATAATATGGGCAGTGAGGGTTGGCAGACAAAAAGCAAATGGACACAAAAATAAACATAGTATGTCAGAAAGTAGTAAATGCCACTGAAGAAAAATAAAGCAGAATGAAGGAGCTTCAGAGTAAGGGTGTGGAGGGGGAAGAAGTGTGGCTATTTTATAGAAGGTGGTCAGAGAAGATTTCACCAATAAGGTATCTGAGTGACACCTGAAGGTGGTGGTGACTGTTAAGATCTAGAGGAAGGGCATTCAAAGCCAAGGGAAAAGCAAGTGCTGTGGCCTTGAAGCCTAACTGTGGTTGGGATATTTAAGGGGCATTACTATAATGCTCAACCCTTTGCTCTTCAATTCTTTGTGTGTCAGTCTCTCCATGAGCCTATGAGCCTCTCCAGGCCAGGGATCACCCCACTAACAAACTACCTGTCCACAGGTAACCAGGACAGGGAAGAAGGTGGGAACCGTGCCATGTGGAAGGCAGTTGAAGAGATGTTTCCCCAGATACATATAGTCTGGGAAGAGAGACTCAGAAGAAATAGCTGCTATTGTCTTGTAAGAGGAAGCAAACTGAATCCGTGTTGCTTCAAAGAGCAGAACTCAAATGGCAGAAAGTAACAGAAAAGCAAATTCCATCTCCATATCAGGAAGGAATGCAAATCTGTAATTGCTACAGCTGTAATCTACTGGCTGCCTCATGTAGTACTAAGTACCTCATCACCAGAGGTATTTGAGTCCTAGTTCAGGCTACTAGTTTTGAGATGCAGGTGTAATGAGACATCCAGTAAAGCCTCTTCCAGATCTAAGGCTTGGTGAGTCTCACTACCATTTATCTAGTACTTTAGGGCAAGCTGACTCAGTATTCCCTTACTTACTGGACTACCTGATGTTGAGACCTGTGTTCTATCTTCCTCTGTGTTTGGCACAGTAAGGGGTTAGGAAATGCAGCACTTTGTGGTCAGCTATGGAGAAATGAGGGAGCCAAACTATGAGGAGAACCAAGTAAGAGAGAAGACGTGAGGTTCTGCTGACCTAGGTAAGAGATGACAGGAAGGCCTGACCAATAGACAGCAGGCCTGGAAAAGATGGCACCAAGTAAGTACTAAACATGCTAAGCTGGCCCCAACCTGAACAACAGATGACACCTGTGTCTAAGGAGGCTACACTCCCCATCAGTGACATATGGATTCTTCTCACACCAAAGGCAACTGATAAGGTTTTAGAACCAACCAGATTGGACCATGACAACCATTCTGTATGTTGTGGACAATCAACGGGGGAGCCACATCGGTGCAGAGGTAATGATGGGCGTCTGCTGTAAGCCGGAAGTAGCCGTCTACCAGGGACACAAAGGACAAGGCCTCCTCATGGGAATAGAGCTTCAGTTCCTGGTGAGAGAGAAGAAATTCCCATAGTTACATCATGTGCCTACTATCTTAAGCAGCTGACTCTAGGGGGAGGTACATAGTGTGAAGATACTTAAAACAGTGGAGAATGCATGACCCCAAAAGGAAACACTTTTTGTTGACAGTAACTGTACCCTTTGCATTTATACAGGATTCTGACTGTTCATCACACTTTCTCACTTATTATCTCCAAACTACCAGAGAAGGTACAGAGCATTTGTGTGTGAGGAGGGGTGGAACAGGCAGCTGTGGCAGGCAGGGGCCTGTGGAGAAGCTGCCACCTGCATCCACATGGGAGGCGAACCTGAATCAAGGAGGCAGAGGTAAAGAAGTGGAGGTGGGAGGAGAACATCATGAGCAAGTGGTATCCAGGTCTTGGCACTAAGCAATGGTCAACTCAGTCAGCATTATTCGCATTTTGTATAAAAGGAAACATAGGCATAGGTGCATCATGTCATACACAGCTGGTCTAGAAGGTGGAACTCCTGGATTTTAATCCAAGAATGGTCCCAGACAATGATGATGTTGCTAGATTAAGTCCAGGGACCTGAGGGTTTGGAGGAAGTGGAATACCTTACTCAAAGTGCGAGAGGCAAAGGCGAAAGTGAAGAAGGAGGAAATTCCACGGAAGGAAGCTTTTCAGAAAAATGCTTAGAGGTGAAGACAGGTGAATTTTTCTGTCTCCATCATATAGATCTGAGCAGAGACTGCCCATCTGAATGGAGCCATGAGCTCAACCAGAACACCTCCCGGTGAAGGAAGATATGTTAAGCCATGATTTAGAGCTTTGATTTGCAAAAATATTTAAAAACACTCGAACCTTCAGAGAGCAAAATGACACTGAGAATAAGACCTTTGCCATACACTGGAGAAAGGAGAGGCTGGCAGCAGAGAAAAACAGAGAGAAGAAGATCAGTAAAGGGAATGGTTGGATATAAGCAACTAGACAGGATGGATGTAACAGGGCCTAGTGATAGTTATAATGCCAAGAGAAAGGGTGACTCTAGAGTTGTGAGCCAAGAAGGCCAAGGCCAAGCCACCATAGGGATGGTAATTCAGGAGACTCTATGCTAAGTGTGCTTCCTTTCATATGTTACCTGGCAGCCACCTGCAGATCCCCAAAGAGCAAATTCAAGATGGTCTGGCCATCTTCACCCAGTCACATATAAACGAGACCATGTAAGCACTTAAGTTCCCTGAGAGCATAAGTCTGAATGAAAATGGGAGATGTCAAGGAGATGCAAAGAGAAGAGATAAATCAAGATATACTTTGATAACATGCTAGTATCATGCTTTCCTGAAAGACCAGCAGCCAAAGTACTGCCTGATCAAAAGGCTTGGAAATCTCATGGCTGGGAAGGGAACAGGGAACAAGATAAAGAAATCATCACAAAGTAATAACCCACAGGTTCCAGTGCCAGTTTATCCGGATTCAAATCTATGTTTAAACATATGTAATAGTCATTTTTATAGGTCAAAAATTGTCATATATTGGCAATTTTAAATTGTTTAACTTAAGAGCTGTATGATCTTGAGCAAGTTACCTAACCTTTTTGTGCCTCAGTTCCTCCTCTATAAAGTAAGAAAAACCATACACCCACCATATAGGGTAAGTATGAAAATGAAAAGAATTGTTATTTGTAAAGTATTTAGAATAGGAAGAACTGGGCACACAGTAAGAGCTAGTATTTGTAAATGAAAATAAAGTAACAAGGAGAGCAAATGTTTCTCTCTTCCTGCCTTCCTCCTGCTCCCCGCACAGTCGCTGCCCCATGTGGTCAGAGTGCGCTCTGACTGAGAGGACAGGTGAACCAACTGGGTGTCTGGCTTGACTTTCAGCCAGGCAGGATAGGGGCTGGCTCACAAAAACTGTACAGCTGCCTGCAGCTTCTCCTCCTCTGCTCTGCACCTCAGGGTTTGGCCACGTTGAAGAGCCAGATCACAAAAGTGCCAACTCTCCCTCACTAGGGTTTCTGGGGAAGAGAATGCCTGGAGCTGGAACTGCCACTTTCTCACTCTGTGACCTGTACACTGACCTGTTTCTGCACCTTGCCATGAGTCCCAAATTCCTCCACTGGAAATGGAGCCAAAATCTCCATATCTAAGGTTCTCATAAGGACTAAGTAAGACAATGTAGATGCAGCATATAACATGGTCTAATATCAATAATATGCTGGATAAATAGCACTTATTTTTATTTTCTCCCTCCCTCCTTTTTCCATCTTCCCACTAACATATCTCCAGGCTTTTCTACTCTATTTTTTTACTACAGTTTCCTGATGAAATTAATGTTATGTTTATTGTTTTTAAAAGAGGACTGAGAAAACAAAAATTACTCATAATTCTACCATAAGTAATAGCTGTTATATTTGATTATTTTTCTAAGAGCATATGTATATGCATAACTTAAAAAAATTTTTTCAACAAAACTGGTACCATTGTATAGTGTTACACTGTTTTTTTCCTATTTACAAAGCATTTTTTTGGATTATTAAAAAACTCAGCAATTTTTTAATATAATATTCTACTATTCATGAATAGTGATTTATTCTCACTTTCTATTATTTTATATTTGGGTATTTTCAGTATTTTGACTCTGCAAATAATTTTGGGATAAACATTTTCATTCACAGACCACTGCGTGCATTTTTTGTTTTTAGAAGACAGATTCCTATGTCCTGAATGGAGAAATATATAAATATTTTCAAGGCTTTTAAAAAATGTTGCCAAACTTCTTTCTAAAAGGTATAACAAAAGACAAGTTACTATAGATGTAAAAGTGTGACCATCTGTCCTAAACCATATCATCAGATTGTTTACCAGCACTGAGGGTTGGCTGTCCTTTGGACACAGTATTTGCCAAATTTTAGGCAAAGCCTGGTATTTCCCTGGTTTTTGACTGCCTTCACTGTGAGAGTGCCCTGCCTCACCAACCTGTCCTCTCCACGTGCTGTCAGCCATGACTTCCTCGACACAAGTATGTTTCTTTTGGCAGGTTCCCACTTCCCCGACTAAAACTGGCCTGCCTGTCTAGATTATGTCCTCAAGTGATACCAGAAAAAAGGAAGTGAGACAGAACACCCCTTCCTCTGTCCAAGTGCCTGAACCATAACAAGGATGCCTCTGTGGCCACAGCCACCAGCCTGACAGTCTGCTGAGTGCAAAGGGGGGCTTCCCACGAACCTCATCCCAGATGACCCCCCCGCCCAGCTCAGCAGAAAGGCTTTTTGTAGGAGCCCTTAGGAGAAAACGCTGACATTCACCAATCTTTCCTTCAAATCTAGTAACCTTTCTGAATTAAATATTGATCCTGAAATGTCTTTGGGAGAGCAGCAAACCCTTAATCAGATACACATTTGCAAGACAAAAGAAAGGCCCTAGAATATGGCAGTGTAACTTAAAAATTGACATTGATAATGTCAGTGTCAGCAATAGGGACTTTTTGGCTTAAGTAAGACAGTCATCAGATTTTTTTGGGGACAGGAACTCGGAAAAGCATGTGCTATACAACTGTCCTCAGAAAAGCCTCCCTCTCCTCACCAGATCCAGACTGAATCACTGCTGGAGCAAACTTACCATTTTTTTGTTGTCCTGCTTATTAATGCTGACCACACACTCCTTTATTACAATGTGAGTGATTTCAGGGAAGTAAGAAAAATTGTTCCACTCTTCCCGGATTTTGTTTTTCTCTTCATCCTTCTTGTGTTTATTTTCCAGTTTTTTCCGTTTCAGTTTATTTTTTTCCTTTTCAACAGTTATAACCTGATAAGATGCATAAAAGACACGGAATTAAGTTGGCTCATTTTCCATTGGTAAAAGGTCAGTGCTTCTGGCAAACCAATGCAGGGCCTACATCTGTGGAAGAGAAAGCCGCTGTGCCCGGTTTTACACAGGAATTGGGAGAGTTAGCCCCATGGGTTTGGGATCACAATTTTCAGTCCTATCTTGGGATTTTACACCTAGAAGAGACCTTATTGAGCACACTGACTACACTCTTATAATCTATAAAGTACAAATAAACTCAGAAAGGGAAATAACTGCCCACTAGACATGCACCTTTAAATCAGGTCCCCTCACTTATGGAGACTGACGGTTGGTTATGTTTCAACACATGCAGAGAACATGTTCTTCCCAAAAATGACTGGACAGAACATGGGCTCTCTCCTTTTAGAATCGGTCACTAATTGTCTTGACTTTGTAACAACATTGAAGTCGGAATTTTGAAGAGAAAGTATGCTTGAATAATAATCCCATGCTTGAATAATCTAGTGAATCATATATGCCCAACCAAGTTTAAATATTTTGTCTTGCAGACTAGAGATCTGGGGTAAGATCCTGCCTCTGCCAGTTACTTAACTAGTTAGGTCATCTCTTTGAGCCTCCATTTCCCCCTCCATAAAGCATATATCTTACATCTTTATAAGGTTCTTTGAGGGTTAGGTAAGTTATTACTATCAAAAATCCTACCATACAGAAAACACTTGATAAGTGTTAGGCATTGTTATTACAGCAAGAGAATAAAACAGGAGGAGAAAATGAATCTCACCTCTACTTTACTATTATTTATAATAATAACAATAACATAATCTATAATAATTTATGCCACACTCTGTGCTGCTAAGTGACATTTGGTTCCCCTCAACGACCGTACAAGATAGATATAGTAAGTATCTCCATTTTATAGATGACTAATATGTGGTTGACAGAGGTGAAGTAACCCTCCCAAAGCTATATAACCATAAATAGTGGAGCTAGAATTTGAACCACATCTATTTAGGTTTAAAAACCCATGCTTTTAAACCACTCTACTCTATTGCCTCATCCAACAAACACTTCAAAAAGAAGCTTAAAATTGCAAAGTCAATTATTCCATTTCATTGAGCCAGACACCTAAGTTCAATTCTTGGCAATTGCTTACTAGTTAGTTATAACCTTGGGCAAGTTTCTTAACTTCTCTCTACCTCTTTGTGTTCATCTATAAAATAGAAATAATGATAGTATTCCCCCCAAACATTATTTCAAAATAATATATGAGTTAATATGTGTAAAATGCTTAGAAAATACTTGGTACATCATAAGCACTCAGTAAATGTCTGCTATTATCATATTATTATACATTATATATTCTGTGATTGTATTTCTCTATTTTCCTAGAGAAAACTCAAAAATATTTAGATCTACTACTGCACAGATACAATAAAAGATGAATGATACATGGTCTCTAGCCTAAACAGACTCAGCTGACAGGGGTAATGAACACGCAAACAGGTAATTTCAACAGGATAAACAGAATACACCATGTGACATAGGATGTTCTGTTTTGATCAGACAACTATTACCACTCACATTTGGTTTCTGCCTCCACTGAATTCCAAGATTTCCAGTTACCATCACTTCATAGTAGAGAATGTTTCCACTGTCATTTGGATGAAATCGATTCATCTCATTTTCTGATGAAATCACTAACATGGAAGTCTCAAATATTTCAGCACCATAATGTTTTGTCAAAGTTTCCAAGGTAGCCAGGTATTTCACCTTCAGGTCATGTGTGGACACACTGCTGTCACAAATAGTCTTGTTGTTAAATTCCTTTAGGAAATCCTTGAAAACATTATTTATCCGCATCCTGGTAAGAAGGTTCCTCTGTCTGATGGACTTATTCAATGTTTCTGGAATATATCGCTTGTAGCTAAAAGTAAACAGGAAAAGATAGCTGTTTTTCATTTAAGGTTAGCAGAGATGAGTTTAGAGGCAACCTAAGTCTATAAAATTTCCTTCCATGTGTTGCCAAATGAGAAAGAATGATATACTCCCAGAGGGTCTTAGACGAAGTAAGCACTGAGGATGATTAGGAGATGGAGGTCAATAGGGATTGAAAGAGAACAGAAAAGTAGAGGATCTACATATTTTACTGAAATGGGAATTCCTATAGGTATCATCAAATTTTGTGGGATACAAAGATAGGCAGCAAAATTGACTTATGTTTTTGCTTGCTAGTGTCACTGCTTCTGTGCATATTAGTACTCACATAGATACACACTGCTATTAAGATTTGACATCAGAGCACAGTCTGAACTGTGTCAAGAGTGATTTTAGATGCCTTGTGTATTTTACTTTGATGTCTGTTTTGTAATTTCTCTATAAAGATCACATAATGTTTTTAAAAGAAATAGGAAAAACACATAAAAGCTAATTAAATACAAAAGACTTAGTGTCTGCCATGTGAAAATGTCCCAGGTACAGTAAATGGATCAACAAGTAAACTGAAAGATTAGTTACCCACCCAGCTGCTTATGAGAGAGTATCTATCACTAACAGAATTTCAACAAACTGATATACTGCTAGAGCAGGAGCCAGTTTTAAGCAGAGTATGAATACCCATGAAAGAAATAACGAGGGGGCCAAGCAAGTATGGACACCCATCTGCCTTTTATTCCCAGCTGTCCTGAGACAGGATCTGGCACAGGGTAATCCCTACTGCATGAAGAGTTTCCTGACAGTGGGAAATTGTGAAGTTTGGAATTTGTCCCTAACAAATATTGTAACTTTCTATGATTAATGTCATGAAGAGGAACATCAGAGGACAGTTGTCATTTTTTACTTTAGCCTCATGAAAAAAAATAAAAAGGTGGTGACCAGAGCAAAAGCCTTAGAAAAAAAAGAGAAAGTAGCAGCCCAGCATATATTTAATTAGTCCCTGCATTACTGAGGAGCAACTTGGGATCTGCTCCAGATGCTGGCCAAGGGCAAGGAGATACAAGAATAACCTTATAAAAAGATGCATGTTGCCCATCACAAATAGTACAGCTATAAATAACTTCCTATTCAAAATGAGACTGTCTTCATTTATGACAATCACAATAGCTCACAGGTAAAAAAAATTTATTATGTATCATAGATGGGTGGAAATTATGCAGGTTGAGTATTCCTTCACAAAGACTTAATTGCAAATGATATTTTTAAGTAAATGTGATTTTCTTAAGGTAATAGTTGATTATTCTTCATATCAGGATTAACAGCTCTCTACTGAACTCTAGTTCAGGATGTGGATGGTGATAGCTACCTGTAGAGCTACACTGACACGGGTTTTAAGATGAGCTCAGTACAAAAGGAAAAAAACGCAGTGATAGCAATATCTAGTTAGCATGGGCCCAGAGGGAAGGGAGGGAGTGTAGGCCACTAATTTGACAGGCATTTTCAGCCAAGAACTTCCACCCGAGCACAAATTTCTGAGGTAACTGGCCAACATTCAAAATTAGGACACAACCACAATTGTGCTACCTTTAATAAATATTCTAAAAACAATACAGACTCTGTAGAGAGCAAGGTTAGCCAAAAACTGGCTGTGGTTAAACTGAGATGTAGGAGAACATATAAAAATAACACCATCCTCACAATGAATTCTTCAGCCAGCAGGAAGGTTTACCTGATGTCCTTGGGCAGTTCTGGCAACTGCATCTTCTTCATCATGGCATAGTGGGAGATGGCCAGGACAGCCATTCCCAGACACTCATTCTCGATGTCGTGCCCATCCTGCTCAGTCTTGGGGTCTCGAATGGGAGCCAGGCATTTGACCAAATCATACTGCCCCTTTGGAGCAGAGGTGAGAAGAAATGAACCACCACTTAAATTACAAGAGTCCACCCATGTTTCTGGTCTTAAGAGGAAGGTTCCCCACACAGAGGGGTGCTACCCAGAAAAGCAGTACAGCAATGAGACTAACAAGATTTATAGTTTCTCTGGCACCAAAGTTCTTTCTCAACAGCTAGGCACAGGGGGCCTGGGATATGTTGTCTCCAGGTTAATTCATTCATTTAACAAATACTTAATAAACTCTATGCTGGATAGTAGTGAACAACACAAACACATGAAGCCCCTTCACAGGGCTTACCATATAAATGGTGGCAAAGAGTGGCTTGTACTAGGCTTGGACTGCACCAGGGCAAGGGAAGGTGACAGCTGGCTGGGGTCTGATCCTTCATTAATTCCACAAATACACAGTAAGATATCTTAGTCTGGGTGTATACTCACAGGGCAACACATTCCATTCTGATGTGGATTTAGAGAAAGGGGAAGGAATGTACATTATACAGTACATCACTACCACACATTAAGTTTTTTCAACATCTCTTGTTCCAATAGTGAAATGAACTACCAAAATATAACCCCTAATAACTGTTGGAGGTACACAGTATTCTAAGAGCCAGTGAGGGCTTCAGAAGCAAAAAATAAAAGTTAAAAGCAGTACCCATACCACCTGCCTTATACAGAGTAATGACGATAATGTCAATGCTAGCTCCCCTTTATTAAACCCTACCCTTGTGACAGACATTGTCCTGGATTCATTTTATCCTTTAACCTTCACAACAGCCCTATGAGTTGGATGCTAACATTATAATCTTTATCTAAGGCACCACCAGGTTAAATAACTTCATTCACTCACTTGGTAATTATTGATTCCTGGGAACCAATTATGGACCAGATGCTATCCTAGGAGCTTGACAGCAGTAAACCAAACCACATCCCTGACCTCACAGAGATTCCATTCTAAGAAGAAAGAATAAACAAACAGAAATACATAACATCTGACAATTACAAACGTCAAAGTCAAAAGGAGAAAGTGGCTGGAGAAGCGAGGAACCTAGTGAGCAGTGGGGTAGACAGTCCACCCTAGATGTGACTCTAGAGCTATGGTTTGTCAACGTGGGGCTACTGTCACACTCAATATTTATTAACTTAAACTGTATGGAAGTCTAAGGACTGTGAGTTCTTTAGCCTGTCTCTAGCTTGAACAGGGGTGGCTATGACATTTGGGGTTGGTGTTCCTACAGAAGAAGTAAGACAGTCCCTTTCCCTGAAGGGACTTCACTGCTTTTGGATGGGGGGGGGGGGTCCTCACCACTAAAGTTTCCCTTCTTTCCAAGATAGGACTTCCTGTTTCTCCCAGGTAATAAAAGAAGCCTGTCCACTTCCACAAACTACTAAGGACTAACAACGATAATCTGTCATCAATGAGTAAAGAGCAGAACAAAATCTGAAACTACTTTGTTTGGCTGTGACTTTCTGTAAATGTCACTGTACAACTCAGTATATTACACCGCAGCCAAGTCATTCCTGAACCTCTGAAAGGTCAGACTCTACTGAGCTAATCCTCACCACTAAAGTTTCCCTTCTTTCCAAGATAGGACTTCCTGTTTCTCCCAGGTAATAAAAGAAGCCTGTCCACTTCCACAAACTACTAAGGACTAACAACGATAATCTGTCATCAATGAGTAAAGAGCAGAACAAAATCTGAAACTACTTTGTTTGGCTGTGACTTTCTGTAAATGTCACTGTACAACTCAGTATATTACACCGCAGCCAAGTCATTCCTGAACCTCTGAAAGGTCAGACTCTACTGAGCTACTTATTCACTCTTGAAGAATGGCCTACATATCCTCTCCCTAAGAAGGTAAAAGAATAAATCTCAGATATGAATATATAAAACTGAGAGGTTGAATTAAGGAAGATCAATCTGAAAATGGGCAATTCATTTTATTTTCTTCAACAGCATCTGCCCAGGGCTATGCATTTCTCTGCTGTCTCTAAGGCCAGTTCTAAGGTATGTATGGAACAGGGATAATACACAATCAGTATCTAAAGCTCTACAATGGAATATAACTGTGACACAGAAATCACATGTGTCAAAGTATAGCCTAAGGAAATAACAAATAGAATGCATAAGTAAATATGTACATGTAAGGTTGTTCACAACAGCCTGTAACAGTGACAGCATAAAGGAACTTTGAGAGAAATGAAAAATGTCCAGAAACAGGTAATTAGTTAGAAAAAATGATGTTTTTTTCTCTGGATTCTACTCATATTCAACTTCATATCTGAAATCCCCACTCAAATGTCTTACATCTCCAAACAAGAACGCCCAATCCTCACCCCTTCTCCAACCTGTTCCCCCCAGGCTTCCCTTTGTAGGAAATGACTCCATTATCTTTCAAACATTGCCCAAAACAGAAATCTCAAAATCATCTTTGATTCGTCAAATTCCCTCACCTTCCATAACTAACCCATCAGTAAATCTATCAATTCTATCTTCGAAGTTAATCACAGATCCATCCATTTCCCTCCAGCCGTACTGCCACTAAACTAAACCCACATTTTCTCACACCCACATCAAGCAGCATGTTTGGAGTGAACATCCACTTTCCATATAGCAACAAGAATCATCAGAAACTTCACACATCAATGAAATCAAACCCTCCCAACAGCTTTCCATTGTACTCAGGATAAAGCTCATTCAGGCTTCTCCACAATCTGAGCCAGCGCAGCCGGCCTCACTAGTCTCACTCCTAATGACCCCCTCCTCCTTTCCCCTGCAGCGGCTAGCTAGCTCGCCACTCAGATCCTGCCTCCCTCAGGCCGACCCACATGCTCTTCCCTCCACATCAAAGGTTCCAACCAGGGGAAATTTTGCCTCAGAGGGGATATTTGGCAATGTCTGGAGACATTTTTGATTGTTACAACTGAGGGGATAGGGCTGCTGGCACCTAATGAGCAGAGGTCAGGGTTGTGAGTAAACATCCTACAATGTGCAGAACAGTCCAACAAAAAATTATCCAGCCCAAAGTGTCAATAGCGCTGCTGTTGAAAAATTCTGCTCTACAAAGAAATACTTTCCCCTTAGAACTGCAGGCTTCAATTTATTCTTTAAGATTTAGTATAAATGTTACCTTCTTAGAGAGACCTTCTCTGATCACACTATTTAAATTTGATCTCTCTAATCCAATCACCTCCCCATATTCTGTCACACAGTTATTATGCATTATCTATATATCATTTTATTTGCCTGCTTGTTTTCTGTTTGTCCAACTTGATTGTAAGTCTGATGCTTGCAGAGACCATGTGTCTTGCTCACCACAGTATGAGCAGCACTTCAGCAAAGAATACATGACACTCAGTAGAAATGTTTGTTGAATGAACAAAATCGATATGAAATCATTAAAACAACAAAGATCTGTATTTTTAATTGACAACTGAAGGATCACCAGTAGGGTGAATAACCAAGTGGTTGGTAAAATGATATTGACAGTATGATAAATTTTTCTTCTATTCTTTTCTCCAGTGTCTAATCTTTCTTCCCTCCTGCCACAGCGACTCAGAAGCGGCCACTCCTCCCTCCCCGCACATCACTGAGACTCCCGGGAAGTGCCTCTGTTAGTCCCACTGAAGTATGCCGTCCCTCACCTACAGCCCCCCTCCCTCGGCCCTCTCCATGGAAGGCATGTGGCAAAAGCTGCTCACAGAACAGGCCACAAACATCCACCAAGTTTGACTGCACCAGACGATCTGAACCCTGCAATGCCTTACCCATCCCATGAACTCCGAGTTCTCCTGGGCCTGAACTTCTTACCTGAGCAAACAGATACTCCAGGGAGCTGGCATCAAGGAGGGGAGTTGCATCTGGAACTTTTTTTTTCTCATAGCCATTTTTCTGCTTTTTTGGAGAATGTCGCCATACTGACTGCTCATTATCATTGGTCCCATGCCAATTGGTGAAATAAAACCTGGAAGGCAGGAAAATGAATGTCAGTTGTGGGACCTTAGAAAGCAAGAGGTATTCCAATTCTATCCTGAGTGATCAGTGTCAGAGGCTAAAATTCCCTGAGAAGCAAGCAGACAGACAGACCTTTCATCTGTGTAAGCACTTCATTGTTTCTGAGGTCCTTTTCTTTTCATTCATTCTTATAAGAACTCTGTGAAGAGTGTCCTGCCAGAATGTTGCCTATGCTTCAGAGAGATAAGGTGATTTCCTTAAGATCACAAACATAGCTCCTCGAGTTTTCCACTGCATCTTCCAAAATAGGAAAAATCCTGCTAACCAGAACTAGATGCTAGCCAGCAACTCTCTTTGCCTTTAATAATGCCATCCTGCCTTGAATCCAAGACCTATTTTATTCATTTTAACATTTCTGTTAAAATTTAGTTTCACCATATAATCAAGATGACAGTTAATATGGCAGTGCTTTTTTCCAGATTGCTGTTACTAAGTTGATGGTTTACCTTACAATGAATAGAGTTTGAAAATAAATACATAAACACTACTATAAGCATCACCTTACAGTATTGTGAATTAATAAGCACTTTATATATATTATGCAATTTAATCCTTACAGCAATTATGCAAGGTAAGTTTCATTGTTTCTATTTTAAAGTTGAGGAAAACTGAGCTTCCAAGAGATTAGGTGGCCTAAGGACCTAAGACTACAGGCCCATTGCTTGACTACTACTTTCCTCTGCCACCTGTAAGAGAAACAAAGTAAGCTCTGCAATAATGTGAAAGCGACTAAGCCAAGCTAACCCAGGCCATCTCTGCGTTACAGACTCAGCCGGTACCTGACCTCTCTCCTTTGACAAGCCCATGTGCTAATGAAAACAACCATGGCATAGAGAAGCAAAAAATAAAATTTCCTCCCCCAAAAAAGAGCTGCCATTAAATTCAGACACCTATCACTGAATTGTATTTGCAGAGCCCAGGACAAGCCAGTCTCTGTGTAAGGCTCTGGGATTCAAAGGATTCCTGGGCACAGTCCCTGCCCTCCATGAATTCCCTGTCTATATATATATATATATATATATATAGTAGGGGGGGGAGGGGGCGGTAACCAGTCAAACCCAACAATTATGATAAAGTAACATACGAGGGGGTTTATCTCATAAGTAGGACTACATTGTGACTTTCATGAGCTATATTTTATAACTGTGTTGGTATAGAGATGAATATAATCCAAGTTGGATTACATATATTTTTTCTGAATTTAAGTGAAATTGAAATATTTTTGTGAGTTCTTAATAATATTGTGAGCCCAAGACACTGTGCCTAGTAGATAAGGTGTCCCTGGACATAAGAGAGTCTCAGATGAGGTGCCAAAGGAATACTAAGGAGGGAGAAGCTGCCCTCCATTGTCAGGACAGGTGGCAGGGAAGGGGGAGGGTTGAGGAAGGGAAGTGGAACCAGAATAAATAAACACCAGGCTTTAGAGCCTGGACCATAAACACAGCAGGCAAAGAAAAGACTACAAGGCAAGCTGACGTGAAGCAGGATCTCCCGGAAGATGGACTGTAATGAGAGAGGCCAAAAGACAAGCAGATGCCTACTGTAACAGTCTGGGCAATGCCATGAGCTTTGTAGAGGCAGAGGCCTCGGTGTCTTGCTCATTACTGAATCTCCAGAGTCTGGCATAAAGTGGGTGGTTAATACACGCTTGTTAGATGCATAAACAAATGAATGAACAAATTTGGGGAGTAGCAATTAATATGGGAAGGACAGGATGGATAAAGGAGTTACTTTAAAGATAAAAATCAACATTTTTAAACTATCAGGAGTATTCTAAAGTGACTGATAATTTGACAATGGGAATGGGCTTTGGTGTCTTGTTCACACAGAGAAAGAACCACATATCCATGAAGCCCATATGCAGCATAAACCACAGCAGTGGGATTGTCCCCTCACCCTCTTTGAGAGGGGATCAAGGCACACGTAATAGTAGAAGCCTAAGGCTATCAGATGATGAGAAGGCTGGCATTCATGCCATCCCAGGCCAAGGAGCCTACTCTTCAAGGGCAGGACAGAGCACAGTCTGGGAGGGCTCAGCCAGGGTTGGCTCTTCAGGGCAGCAGAAACAAAGAGGTGAACTAGCTCCACGAGCTGAGCACATACAGGAAAATAAGACACTAGCAGAACAAATGGATGAGGATAGAGCCAACTCCTGTGACTCCTGAGGAAAATCCAAAATGGAGAGTTTTCATCATTTGTAACAATAGCAGAGAACTACTAGAAGTTCTGGGGTCTGCCTGGAAGGAGATGGGTGAAAGGATCCACATAGGATGATCAAGATGACAACTAAGAGCTATTGTGCGATAACCATGCGCCAGGCACTCCATAACAAGGGTTTAAAGCAGGGCTCTCACAGAAGCAAATGCAAAACAGGTTGTAGAGGAAGGTGGTGATGAAAGAAAGAATTACGTAAAATATACGTAAAATATAGAAGGTTACAAGGAGAATTATTTAAAACATGGAAGGCTATCTGAGAAGAAGGATTTAAGGATGTGGGAGGTTGTCTGAAAGAGAAGCACTTAAGGCACAGTTTCCCTGAACCAGTCCAAGCCAGGGTCCTCTTCTTCAACATCCCGCTAGTCTCCATGAAGAGTCCTTGGACTGAGAGGACCACGGGCCCAACCTACTCCCTTTGTGCAGAATACAATCTTCAATCAGGTCTAAATAAGGACATTCTTTTGAGGCTGTTACCTAAGCCCTGTGGAACCAGCTTAGGCTGGGAAGCCTTTTGGTAAGATGTTAAGGCAGGATAAAGCTGAGGAGATCAAACATGATGTCCAGCTTCTCCACTTCAGTGAAGGCAAAGGAGCCTAAAACAAGGCTAGAGGCCTAGAAATGCCTATAATCAAAGGCTAACAACTTTCTATTTAATAATACAGCAATAAAACAAAAACAAAATCTTGAATCAGTAACTACCAAAAAATCAGCAACTTGCTAATTTTGTCCTGATCAGACAAAACGAAAAGGTACACTGAAGACAGAAATTCTTTTTAAAATTAGTTATCAAAGTGTTCATCAAACTTGGGACACACATAAATGTTATAACATGCTAATAGAAAAAAAATAATGACATAAATAAATGTAGTATGATAGCTGCCTCAATTCCTTTTCACAATGATGTGAAGGAATAATGCAGGAAGGAAGGCGGGAGAGACAGACAGACAGACCTATCAGAAATATGCCTTCCTTACAAGTTTTTGAGAAAGTTGTATTACAGATGACTGCATATTTTAAGTGTATGTACAGATATTATACACAACGAACTCTCTTTAGTTTTCTACAGAACTTTACTGATGGATGGTAAATTTGGATGAAGCAAGGAAATTTTTTTTCTTCAAAAGGAATAAAGAATATGCCAGATAAACTATCAAAATCCTTATCTAAAAATAGAAAACTATAATTGAAGTAAAAGAATATTTCCCAAAATAGAGCTGGGATCCTACTGAAATAGTCCCCAACATTTATTTTCATTACACCTTCTTTAGTGGTATGATTATGAGGTTTCAAGATTTTTGTAGTTCGTTGTAACACAAACGTTTTAGCTGAGGGTGGGATCTTTTTTTTCCAAGTTCAAAGAGCCTGTGGTAACAAAGCAATATCCTGTTGAAACGCAATGTCAGGTACAAAGTCAAGGTGCCAAAAAAGCAGCAGCTATGCAATTTCCTGGTAGCTAACAGAATGGGGAGCAGGCACAGACAGCTTTGAATAGTGAGGCATTCACACGACCAACAAAGATGAATACCCCAGAGAGTGAGGGTTCCAGTGCTAACAAAAAGGTTCACGGGTTATGTGACTACAGGTAACTCACTTCTCTTTCCTGGACATCAGTTTTCCCCTAAAAATTGGAAGAGTTGAATTAGGTAAACTCAGGTCTCTTCAACCTCCCAAATTGCTATCATTCTAGATTCCAAGCCAAGTGGAGAAATCTAGAGGGAAAGAATTAGAACTCAATGACTGGGAGCTGCAAATACACATTTCAAAGCCGGATCACACTGCCAACCCCAGGCCACAGAAAGTAAGATTGCACTTTGAAAACAAATCTGAATATAGTCAGCAGACTCAGGTGGGTGGGGTGAATGTTTCCCTAAATCTGGGGTGCGAAATCTCACATGGCACAGGATTTCACCTCTCCATAAGGTGAGACCTTGGGTGAATACAGAAAGAAGAAAATAAAGGTAGCCCTAGGATGATTATTGAAGACAATCGATCTGGTTCAGCTTCCTCTCAGGAAAACATACAGGCCATTCTGGAATGGTAACAGCTCTATCCACTTCCCAAGCAAACAGCGCTATCATACGGTGGACCAGAGGGCTTTTCTAGCATGTACCTGTGTTCCGTTAGCACCCGAGCTAACCTAATAATTTAATAATCACATCTGTGTAAGTTAAAATCATCCTCAAAAAGTATTCATACTACTTACAAGCTCTTTTGCTAAATACATATATTAACTTATGCTTAACTAATACCAAACATATTTTCAATTCTAGGTGCAGAACAAATATGCTTATGAACTCAAGAGACTACAGCTATTAAGTACTGACGGTTTATGCCACTTTAGGAGACTATGTCACATTTAATGAAGTCTACAATATGGGAGAAAAGGCAAGAGCCCATCAGAAGAAAAATTAGAGCCCCACTAGACAAAATCCCCCAGGGAGTAGATCAAAATAGCCACATCTTGAGAGCAAGACCAACCCAGAATTTCTAGGATACCACTTGAAACAGTGTTTCTTCAGCTGCAACTAACAGTAAGAAATATATTTTACTATATCATGACTTAGTAAATACATATATATCTCAAACAAAAGCTTTAAAAAACAATATTCTTAGGCTATGTACACATGTTCATATTATATATTCTCTCCTGGTCTTTTTTTTTTAATTCTGGTCACAACTCACTAAATTAAATTCATAACCATGACTCACCATTTGAAAAACTCTTCTATAGGATATCAGTTCTTTTCAAAATACCCTCTGCACCATAATGATTCTTTTCTAAAATGTGGCAGAGGAAGGTGATCAAATTTATCTTGAATTGTATTCCAAATACTGAAGAAGTCCTTTCTGACACCAAGCAAATACAAAACTTATAAATTACAAAAATGACTACAATACTTCTTGGTAAGTGAGTGACTCAGGTTCCAAGCTGTCACCCCTTCCTGATGAAGCCATGCAGGCACCATACCTCATCCGGTAGTGGAGCCGGAGTGTTGTCTTATCATCAACAGTGATGGTGTGATTAGGAGCATACCAAATCTTGGTGTTCTCATCATACAGGGCAAAGAGGTTGTGACAAAGAGGAGAGATACCTAGGGAAAAGTGAGGAACATATCAGAAAATTAAAGATCTATTTGGCCATCTTTTTCCAAACCATGACATAGGCAAAGGAATTCTATAATCTAAAAATAATCTAGGTCACATTATATTCTCTTAGGGCAAATGCAACTTCCAACCATATTCAATCAAGCAACCATACTCAATCAATCAACTATGTTCCCCAGGAATATGTAGTATAGCTCCTGGCAAACCAGACTAAAACTATTTTAAAATAAAAGTCTAATGGTATTTTTCATAATGGTATCTATGAGAGAGTCTTACCAAACCCTGCTTAAAAGAAAACACAGGCCATCTGAGAGTTTTCCAGATCCCCCTTGATGTGTACCTTGCTAACCATAGTCAGAAGCATTCTTGGAGTTAAGGAAATCCCTGATCTGTCTCCTACAGAAAATGTTTAAACAATTCTAACACACTGTGATTTTGCATTAAACATGCAAAGAAGTTCCTGGCAGTAGCACATGAAATTGTGTGTCAGAATAAATAACCAAAGTGATTTTTGTCAGTGATAAAAATCTATTACCATTAATAATAAATACACTTAAGTACTCTGTATAGTTATCATAAATATTTTTCATTAGTAGCTAACTAGATACATGCTTAACAAAGATGGGTCAATAATGCTCCCTTAGTGCTCCCTTGCCTCCCTGCTCTACCAGCTGCCTCCTCCTTTGATATAAGAATGATCAAGAAGATAAGAGAAAAACCAGGGAAGTGCCTTTCCACTCACTTTTGAGCCCATTACAGACCTGTAATCTAAAAGCATAGGAGGAGGGAGAAAAATGATTGCAAATAATCAATTATTACAGATGTTTTCATGTGCAGCCAGGCCTCAAACTAAGATACAGTGAACTTAAGCAAATTACATGTAAAAATATGAAATAATTGACACTTGTGTACATGTGTGTATATATACATACACACACATATTATGAGAACTAAAAGAACAAAAATTTACCACCTATTTGTGAGAAATGGGAGAAAAAGACTGACCTCAAAACATCACTTACTATAATAACAATGAGAGCTGTAAGAATGTGGCATTCCATAACCACGTGTTTTTTAAATTAATAAATTCCTGCAACATTCTCTTGAGTTGGTTACAAAAGAGATTACTCATTCTCTATGGACTGTGCTTAGAAACTGAAGTTGCAAACTGATCGACCCTGAGCCCAAAGTTACGATGGATACAGGGCTGTGCCTATGCTAGGAGTCACTGGCTCTCTTCTCTCCTCTCTAGCAGCACTTCCTGGATGCAGCCCAACAATTATGCAGAAATGATGCTTCCTAAAAACTGAGGCTTATACCTGCTCTGCTGATGGCAACAAGCTTGGCTAAGAGAGTAAACACTATAAACCAAATCTCACAGGAAAGGAGAAGGAAAAACACAACACCTTAAAAAAACCTTTTGAAACAACAATATCTAGTTGTTTTGCTACTTACAAATACTTTTAAAGCTGATGGCTAAAGCTGGTTCCTTATATACTTTGCTATCCACTCAAAATAACTTTAAATGTTAATGCATTTCTCCCCCAGAAATCTATATAGCTCAGCCAATTTTATCTAGTGTTATGTTTGTTAGGAAGGGTTTACTACACTCTTCCCAATAGTACCAACCGCCCCCACTCCCTTTTTTGAACTCTCGTATTTAAAGCATGTTAGGCAAAAAGATAGCTATCAGAAAGGAAATGGGTTTTCTAGCAAGCTATTACAAACAAGGCAGGCGATTCCTGAAACAGCCATACTATCCCCACAGAGTTGTTCTGAGGGCTGAAGATGGTATCAGTGAAGCATGAATCAGACTGCCTGCCATCAGCTAATTACTTTGTCATTATAAAGTGAGCTGGTTTTAAAAAGAACAGCTTTATTGAGATGTAATTTATATACCATAAAGTCTACCATTTTAACTGTACAATTCAATAAATTTTAGTATATTGAGAGAGTTTACAACCATCACCACAATCTAAGTGGTGATCTTTAAGTTTCTATGATTTAACTTTACTTGCCACTTAAAAGTAGGTAGGCAAAAACTGCCAATGTTCAGAAGTTTAAAGGATAACGAAAGGGGCTTTACTGTGTTAGCTTGGTTTCCCACCCTCTAAGGGGAACAGGCTAACTTTTGTTAAGATTAAAGCACCACTTTAAAAAGAAAAAAAAAAAATAACGGATTGTGTTGTTGTTGTTCACAGCCTCACTGTCCTTTTCACAACTTGGTGATCTGACCAAGCCACAAAATGACACTCAATTTCTCACTTCAACTCAGCATCACATGGTGGTGGGAGGTGGGGTGTCAAGTGAGGCAGGTAGTAGGGGCAGAGGATGGGTCACACTTTTCAGAAGATGCTTTGAACAATTAAGATACTGAGAGATACCACTTCCTGAGCTCATAACTTTGTGCTAGGTGTTTTATCCATTTAGCACAGATACCACTCCAATTCCAAGGATGTGGGGGAAATAGTAACTGAGCTTCTCCAGAAGGCAAGCATCTTCCTGGGCATCTCACAGCTCATTAGTGACAGAGCAGGAATATGCTACTTAGGCCACTTTTGCAATGAAGAAAGTGAAATGTGAAACTCTCAATTAAAATCACTGGCTTAAGGTCAAATGCAGGTGAGTGGCAGAGCAAGAGTGCAACCTGACTCCCAGAGCCCACACCTCTTTCCAGCCAGTGGGGCTACAGGGGCAGAGACACCCACACCTCCTTCTGGGATGGTATGCCACCCGTACTCACAGCATTCCTGAGCAGCCCTGATGCACAGCTCCTCTGCCGTGTATTCTCCGATGCCCAGCAGGAGTGGCTCCCTATCAGACAGATAGAAGAGCACTTCTACCCCTGGTTCAGGGGCCTCCAGATTCACTTCAGTCTTCTTGGAGCTCCTCATTTTAGCACAGAAAGCCATGGCATTGCAGTCCTCTTTTATATTTAGATACTGCAGCAGAAGGAAAATAAGACTATGTGGTCATTTTATGTGCTAAAAGTTCAAGTGGTAAAACATTTAGGTAAGCAAGCAGAAATATGTGGTATTGGATAAGAACCTCTCTCCCTGCAAATCATATGTGTCAGAGCTTATGAGAGGCGAAACTATGGAAAACAATCAGTTATTCATTCTAATCAATAATTATGGTAAGACCATAACTTTGGACAAAAATTTAAGTTATTTTCTCTATTTGCACACAAGTTGTACTTGAAAAATGTGGCTCATTCTGGAAGGATGAATGTTAATGTTACTTATACTGCTCTAACTGGAATCATTGCACTTTTGAAGAGACCTATGGCATGAATCACACTGGCTTTTTAATTTTATGTCTATCTCCCACTGAACTGAAAGCTCAGTGAGGGCATTAACCATGTCTAATCTTTTTCATGCCCCCAGAGACTAGCCCAGGGCTGGCTCTGAGATAGCATACACAAGAGAGTACCAATTCATGTTCATTAGCCACATGGAAGAGTCATGAAAATTAATGAATGGAGCCAGGTCCCCATCGCCTCATGGACAGGCAGGAGGATGGGCAGCACCTTGTGGCAGCAAAATGAATGGGGAAAGGCTTGCTTTGAAAGGTCAGAATCTGCTGGTGAGAAGCTTGCAAATAAGTCATTCACATGAGCAACCTTAAAAGAGCAGGCAAGCAGGATCAAAGAGCCAACCTCTGTAACTTAGCCTTGGGCAAGGCCAGAAAGGAAGGGGGGAGGGAAAGTCTTAACATTCTTCTTACCCCTCACCCGGCACCAGTGGCCTACAAACTACTTTCCCTGACCCCAAGTTCCTACCTTCCCCCTGCCTGCCAAGCCAACCTTCACTTAGCCCCCAAAGTCATGTCTCCATAACATATACTGGATATTCCAAAGGCTCCCTGTTAACCTACAGACCAGGGTCAAACTCCTAACAGAGGCCCTCCATTTTCTGGCCAGCTAGCCTAACTAGCCTCATCTTCTAGTTATTCCAGCCTCTTACTTAATGCTTGAAACCCACAAAGCTGTCACTGTTCTTATTACTCCACCCCATACTGTTTTTCTCACTTTCCTGCTTTTGCTCATGCTGATTTCTGTGGCAGGAATAAGTCCACCTCATCCTTTTCATGGAAAACTTCACTTTTCTTTAGAACTCAGTTCAGATATTACTTCCTCTAGGAAGCTGTCTCGGAACCTCCATCCCATCCCCTAAGTCAGAGAGAGGCCCTCTCCCAACTCACCACACTGCACTAACCACACTGAATTATGAGTCTTATTCATGTGTCTGTCTTTCACTCACACTTGCATGTGCTGTGCATTCCTGGAAGATAAGGACTATGTCATTCATCTTTGTATCTGTAGTACCTAGTAGAGAGTCTTCATATAATGGGTGCCTGCAGAATAACCCAAGGAGGCTCTTCAAAACAAGAAAAGTCATATAGGGTGGAGAGGAGGCACAGTTCTCTTCACGAAATTCATGTGCTTGGTCTATTAGCTGCCCTCATGAGGTCAGGTATTTACAAGAGGTACACGAACCAGATATGCGACAATGCGACAAACTGAGAGGCATTCGACTTTACTTGTTTAATCTCTAAAATAAATCTGAAAACCAGAATCTTCCAGAAACCAGTCTGAAAGACTAAGCTCATAATTTACCTTGAGGTTCAGATCAACTGTCAAGCAAGAAAGTTTTAAAACCCAACAATGTGCCCACAAATCCGCCTGACAGTGAAAAATAAAGATGGAAAACAGAGAAGCTACAATCTGCTTCATACTGTAAAATAAACCTTGCCTTTAAGATTCTATTTGGATATGGGAGAAGAATTCAAAAACTGCGTTATACTCTTTTACCCTAAGAAAATAATCAGGCAAGTAAATATATATATATTTACTTATATATATGTATATATACGACAGGTAGCACCATTTAAAATAGAAAAAAAAATACAACCAACAATGTCCAACAGGAGAGTACTCACTAAAAATAAGGATTAGCAACACAAAGGAATACAATGCAGGTATTTTTAAAAATCACATAAAGGTACATGAACAAACACTGAAAAGATGTATACAACATTCTGCAAAGTAAGAAAAAAGCATATGTACATTATGATGCTTTTCTTTATGTAAACGTATAATCTGGAAAAACTACAATAAATTGTTAATAGTGGTGAATATCCAGGAGAGATTACAAGGGAATTCTTACTTCCTATATTTTTATACTCTCAGGATGTCTTTTTAAACCAGGACACTCAATTCTGGGAATGAACAAAAATACACTATCAATATTTAAAAATTATAGACTAGATACAGATAGCTCTACAAGTTCAAGATCAGTTTCATTCTTTTTTAAAAGCTATTTTTCTTTTTGCCTTTTTAAAAAAGTATGCGAATGTACATACCTGCATTTATTCAGCTGTCCAATGTCCCCCAAAAAAGCAAACTGGATTTTCTTCTCTACTCTCCAAAGCCCGTTCAGAGCTGTACTGAAGACAAATAAATAAATCAGCTGCAGAGGTAACTGCATCAGAAAATGCGACACATTAAGGAAGCAGCTCAAACCATAAACGGGCAGGAAAAAGCATTTGAGAGGAAAAAGGAAAAAATAAGAACACTGATGAGGACACCAAGAGGACAGCGAGGCATTATAGTATGTAAACAACAAAGAAGATTACTTTCATTCCTTCAAGAAAGGAAGCCAGGGACTTTTGTTTCCTGGCACAGAGTGCCCTGTCCAGTGTTAGGTGAAGACCATGAGCCTTTTCTATCAACAACCTCTCTCCTGTGGCTATGAACAATAGTTTAGGACACCCAAAGGTGTACACTTTTATTTTCCATTCCATTTCCTTTAGATTACCCTTCTCCCAAACCAGTCTGTCTTTGGCCTCATTTTAATGGTGAAACACATTAGGTATGGTGAAGGGGGAGGACCTCGGAATAAATATGATGAATAATGCTTTCAGTTCACCAAATATTATTTGAGCCATTCTTATCTGAACATGTAGGTAGCAAGTAAAGCCCCCTCCCAAGTCTCCAACCTCATCTCAAAGCTTAATTCAACCAATACCAGGTTGATTCTATAGAATTGAAGCACCTGGTCCTATCCTTACCACTGCCCACCCCCCACATACACACACACCCCTCTGTATTTATTTAACCACTTCCCTGGTGCTTCCCACAAATTCTCTTTTTTTAACAGTAGAATCAAGGTATTTTTGCAAATAAATCACCCTTACTGATTTGAAAGTGGTTTCTGAGTTAATACACATCATTATCTCAGTTTTTTGTTGGGTCATTCAATACATTTTATCAGAATCCAGCTTTAGGAAGAGCACAGTCCCAGGCATTACATGGCAAAAGCAGAGGGGGCCTGGGGAGATGGAGATAAGGATGGGTTACCTCTGAGGCTGCAAGACCAGCATTCCCATGGGACCTTACAACTGAAGTAGGAAATGGCACAAATGAAAACACAAGAGCAATCTAAAATCAAACAGAGTGAGTGTGTCATGATGTCATCTTTTGTACCTCTTGTTGACTCTGGTGACTATAACGAGAAAGGGCTAGTTTGGGAAGGCTTTCTGCAGTGAATGAGATGTACGCAAAAGTAACAATGAGAAGCCAGGCAGGGGATACAAGTGTGAATTTTTGTGTGACCATTCTAATTTGGCTACTGTGACACAGACAATTTTAATAAGATTCAAAGAACAAATTAGTATACTTTGAGCTTTAAAAAATTTAATATAACTGTTTTAATTATGTGAATAGATATCCTGTTGCACATGAAAACAGTAATCTGAAATTAGCTACATGCTAATGCTTTGCTTTGGCTCAGGGTTTCAAATGTCATATTTAAGAGATTCATTCAACATGTATTTTTGAGCAGTTCTTTGTGCCAGAGGCAATATGGTCCTTACTACTCACATGGTGCTTATAGACTACAGGGCCAATGGAATCAAAAATGCACAGAAAGAGGTAATTACAAAGAAATTAAAATGCCATGAAGGAAAAATAGAGAGCACATAGAAAAGGAATGTGATCTAGCACAGAGCTCAGGAAGGAAGTAATATTGAGCTGAGATGTAATGGATTTCTGGGGAAGTAGGAGAAAGCCGTCTGCATGAGGGATCAGGATGTGCAAAGGCCCTTCCTAGTCTGGTCTCTTAAGCTGCATAAATATGGAAATCCCTCCAATACTCCTTTTTACACCTGGGCAAAGAACAGCACTAGCTGGTTCATCAACATTACTTGCTAACATGGCATGCCTAGCGCCTTTCCACTGGAGGTTTCCCACAGCATGCCATTATATGCTCTGCCAAGGACAAATGAAAATTGACCAGATGGACTCTATACCTTGAGCATTAAGAAGCCTGACCCAAACCAGGAAAGAAACACATACTCAGAGCCTTTTAGAGCAAAAAGAGACCTGTAAATTCCATCATGCCCAGGCTTTTTAAGAAGGGCCACAGCATAAATCTTTTTAGACCTCACAAAGGCTTTTAATATTAGATTATGTGTTAACTAAATTTAGGATCATGGGTTGCTCTGGATCTCCATAACATTCAAGGATCAGACTAAAATCATTAAGATTCTTCAAGAACTAGGATTCTATGAAAACCTGTATTTAAGGAGAGTATGGTTTTTCCATTATTCTTACTCTACCCCAAACAGCACTATACTGAAATCACATAGTACCGAATTTTCAACTGGCCTCCAGCATTACTGGACAGGACAATACAATGGTATTGATATTTGATACTAGCCTAGAGATTAAATTCTTTGGGAAAACAAAATCAGCAACCAAACTTCTAGACAGTATGCATTTAACTATTATGTTTTTATGTGCTGACTCAGTAACAACAAAATCCCTACTGTCAGAAAACTGACATTCTAATGATAAAAGTTAAAAAACACCCCACAACACTTAAAATGCATGCTAGGAACCATTCTCAAGCACTTTTAAACCTAGGACTTCTGATCCACTTTATATGAAATGACAACTGTCCTCATTTAGGATGATGAATTTTTTATGCTACAGCATTTGTGTAATGGCTTCATTCAAATAACATTTCTTTCCAAATAAACCAAACAATATGCTCTAGCTACTTATTTTTAAACAGGGAGGAAAAGAACAAGATCAGTTTATACTTTGGATAATTCCAAGAAATCAAGTCAAGTTTCTTGTTACAAATACCAAAAAAAAAAAACAAAAAAAACCAGAAAAACTTCAATACTACAAAAACAGACCAGTAGGAATCGCATAATTCCCTTTAAAAATAACATGACTGATTGGGTTCCATTCCCACCTCAAATGAATACAAAAAAGCTCAGAAAATGGCAAGGATAAAAGTGAGTAATCAAAAGCTTTTTGATGACAGTAGTGAATTCTTCCACCCTAATTTACTTATAAATGTTTAAGTTTTGAAAGAAACTGCCTTTCTGTCTATGTAGAAGATTACTTTTGTGGCTCAGTCTTTCAGATGCTACTTTATATTTTTTTAAAATCAGAAATTTTGTAGATTCTCAAATTTTCTTAGTTTATAAAAGTATTATGCAAGAGACAAACATATTTGATACTTTTTGCATGAGGGAAAAATAACAAGCAAAACACAATTCTGTAAGTCTGAACAAGAGGTAACTATACTAGATACCACAACTATTTCTCAGGATAAAAAATTTCAGAAACCTAGGTCTAAAGACACTGGAACTCCTAAATTTTCAAGAACATATTTTTAAATACAGGTATCTGTATAAGGGAAGAACATACAATTTTGAATAGTGCAGAAGAGAGGCATAAAAATAGACCATGATGATATTCACAAATTTGATCACAGAGTATGACTGCTTCTGGCCAAAGAACACTGCCAGATTTACATAAAAAGGGCCTGACTGGGTGATGGTTAATATCAATGATGAGAACCAAAGGACTTCGGGCATCTGTTTTTACTAAAGCAACCACCATTCACATTGACAGTGAGTTAGATGCTTAAAAGGAATCAAAGATTTTGATTTCTGAAGTAGAAAATACAAAGAAAATGTTGATGAATTAAGGTATGAATTCAGAAAAACTGAAAGAAAATATATGTAATTTAGAAAGTGTCCTGAAACCAGCTGCTTAATACCTTAAGAAATTTCCGTAGTAAAGCTCTTAAACCTTAAAAAACTATTTCAGCAGGCACCAGTTTTAAGATTGGTGGAGCCAAAATGCAGTAATACAAGCTCTTAGAAGGCAAGGATTTTAGTCTCTTTTATTTAGTGCTTTATTGCCAGCACTATAGGTTATCAGTAAGTGGTTAACAGTTGTTTAATGAAAGATGAAGGTAACAAAGTAAGCAACATTATGTATGCAATGGAGAAATCATGATAAGCAATCCAGAGTGTGTGCATTCTTACTGATTCAATATGCAACTAGTTAAGTGTTCCTTTAAACAAGCCATTTTAATCTCTAAGACTCAGTTTCCCCTCCATTAACCAAGAGGAAACAGCCTGCCTAAAGGATTGGTTTGAGGATCAAAAAGATCATTCAAAAGTCTTCATCAAGCTCCTACAATGCCTTTTTCAAATGAGGTTGTAGATGTGAACGTGCTCAGAAAGTTACTAAGTGTTAAAGCAAGACAATGCAGGTTTTATGGGAAAGGACTAAAGTGGGCTGTGAGCTTGCTTAGAAGAACAAAAGCTTAAATAGGGATTTGGAATAAAAGCCTGGTCACAAATCAAACTCTCATTTTATAAATCTCAGATGACAGAGCAGAGTAGATAAGGGTGTGAGCTGGAATCACCCTGATCTGGGTTGGAATCCTAGGTTTCCCACCTACTAGCTATTGTAATCTTAGGCAAGGTACTTAACATCCCTAACCCTCTCAGTTGTAAAGGGGTGGGGGTAGGGATAAAACTTGCATTTTCTCATAGAGATGTCAAGACTTATATGAGTTAATGGTGCCTAACAGTATAGCAGGCAGGAAGCATTCATATTTTGGCCATAACTTCTGTTGAACTGATTACAGCCTGAGGAAATACAATTTTAGTCAAGGAGAGGGAACGCCAATATATAATGAGTATCTGCAACATCTCAAGCATTGAGTTAGCTGGGCACTTGCACTTAATTCTCACAAAAAGCAGGAGAGATTTTAAGTTGATCAGTGGGAGTGCCAGAAATCAAACATGTGACTCCTGATTCCAAGGATCTTGCTCTTCCCATAGGGGAGAAAAACTGCTTTAAAGTGCCTCCTATCACTAACACCACTGTCTTCTCTGGCTTTTGAGTACTTTTCATTGTCTAACATCCACCTAAGAGACGGATCTCATCCCAAGGCCCTTCCCTCCAGAAAATGAAAGAACTGACATAAAAAAAAAATCATTAATGTGCCCCAGTCTTGCCTACATTCCAGCCCACAACTAATGCACTGCTCTGGCACGACCACTGCAGGTGTGGGGAGGCAAGTTCTGGTGACCCCTAGCACAGGCCACCCCATGTGGGCACAGAACCTCAA